TTTAGTCCCAAAGCCTGACAAAAGTTACAGGTTTTGTACTGACTTCAGGAAAGTGAATGCATTCACAAAGACTGATTCCTTTCCGATTCCAAGGATAGACGATCTTATAGATCGAATAGGTGATGCCAAATATGTAACCAAGATAGACTTACTATCAGGTTATTGGCAGGTTCCTCTATCTGACAGAGCAAAAGAAATCTCTGCTTTTTTTACTCCAGATGGTTTATATCAATATAAAGTAATGCCGTTTGGAATGAAAAATGCCCCAGCGGCGTAGGTTTTTGCCGTCCACTTCAGAAATTCCGTAGTCGGCCGAAAATGACACCCCTCCATTTAAATACAAAAAGCTGCGCCTGGGACTGACCGCCCCCTCAGCACACGCTTCCTACGTCACTGACTATATTCTAGAGAAGAGTCTTACTTTGATGTGGTTGTCTCTCAGTAGTCTCAGGTGACACCAAGGTGAAAGTAGAGACTGCAATCCACCCACGTGAATAAAATTCTTATTCTTTTTTTTTCATTTTAGGTATAGAGGTAGGATATATAAATATATATATAGCCTTTATATATATATATAAATGTAATTTTTTTTAAAATTTAAATATATACATATGAATGTTTTTCGTTGCAGTGATGAAGGCATTTGCTGAAACATTTAAATTCGTGTAACCATAATTAAATCTTATAATATTTTGTTTTATTTACACTTACACAAATAGATTTTTTTTCCTCATTCATCTACTTTAAAAAAAAAAAAAAAAAGCTCTTTCACAGCCCAACACTTTTGTAATTAAGGCAGATGGGACCACAGAGCTATAAATATATCTCTATGTCTATGGATGGGACTGACAATTACACGGAGAGGTAGATAGGCCTATGTTCACAATTAAAACCTTGTTAAAGAAGAGCACACAGGAATGCCAAAGAAGAAGGACAGCAGACCTCCAAAATGGGCAGCAGAGACTGCCACTCCAGGACTAGACTCACAAATAAGGTGCAAAAAACAAATGAGAATCTAAACTTGTGGATCTTAACATTTTTTAAGTCACAGAACACCTATAATTAACTTAAAAAAGAAACTCTCATACCGGTACCAAAAGCATACGCGTTTTGAAAGTAATAAATATGCAAGAATTACATTTTTTACAAATGGAACTTCTTCTAATGCCATCGTGTCTGCCTTTTCAGGTTTTAAATCAGTAACTAAGCCAACTCTACTTCTTTTTTTACATTGGTTAGTGATTGTTGAGAAAACAAGGTTCATCAACATTCCAGTTAAGAACCTAACTCACAATATGATATTGAAAACTACTGTATCCCAAAGAACAGTGCTATTGTGGAGACAACTTTGCTTTTACTTTGAATAAAAGTTTCATCCTTGTCAAAAATTTTAAAATTAAAGTTATTTCAGATTATTTTGTTTTAATTAGAATTATTGTAGAGTAGGATCATTTCACAAGGTAACCAATTTGATGTTTTTCTTGTAGAGTAGGATCATTTGACAACAAGGTAACCAATTTGATGTGTTTCTTGTACTTGTAGAGTAGGATCATTTACAAGGTAACCAATTTGTAGTGTTTCTTGTAGAGTAGGATCATTTACAAGGTAACCAATTTGATGTGTTTCTTGTAGATTAGGATCAGTTGACAAGGTCACCAAGGTAATTGATCTGTTTATTATAACAAAATTCAACACCGGATGTTTTAAATGTGCAAATTAGATTTTGTATCCAGTCATACTTACTTCAGGATTCTTTGACGTTAAATATTTGAGAGTTAATGGCTGAGATTTGGATGTGGCAACTGTTCTACTTTGGAGCAAATGAAATAGTTGTGTTATTTGTTCTTCAACGATGTGTAAGAATTTTGTGTTCTTTTGATTAATTCTCATAATATGTACTGCTGTCTTGGTCTCATCCTACTTTTTATACTTTAGTAAAGTGGTTATCAATAAGACTGTCATCTTTTTGTGTCATTATCAGTCAGTGTGTCATTATCTGTCAGTGTGTTGGTTATCAGTGTGTCATTGTCAGTCAGTGTGTCGGTTATCAGTCAATGTGTCAGCAAGGATCACAGGTTGATGCATTTTTTGAGGGAATAAAGATATAAAAAATAAAAGTTATTTGCCTTTGAAATAACAATCCATATAATATAATTTAAAATAATTTCATTGAATCTTCTTCTCATCTAAACAGCCAATAATTCTTTTTTTAACCTGAACTGTATGTCACTGAACCTAAATTACTAATTTTAGCTTTAAAACTACTTGAAAACTCTTGCTACATCTTCCAAAATCTTCATGTTATTTTATGCAGGCAATTGCTTTGAAGCTAATTTAGAATATTATTATTACGTCTTCTTCTTATATTTGAGGGGCCCTCGATCAATTTGTTGATCATTCTGGCTCCTGATTTAAATTCAGAGTTTGCCTTCTCTTAGATGAGTTGCCTTCTCTTAGATGAGTTGCCGTCCAAGGCTAACGAGTCCCATCCACCCGGAGTGCTTGAGATGTTGGCTTTGGTGGGAATTGAATGAACTCCAGACCACCAGCTATTTGGTTTGAGACAGTTTAGACCGCTCGGCCACCCAGCACTCTCATGTCATGGTTATTAAAATGAAACCACTTAAAAATAGTGGTAGACAGTAAAATCACTAACCTTTAGCTAAGTGAGATTTACATGTGCTGTGTTTTTTCATCTGTGGTAATTAGCAAGAGCCCGCTACACATGACATAGTAATTATGGCACTGTACTAAAGATGGTCACACCCTTAATGAGACACTTTCTTACAGCATTCATAAATGAGACAAGAAGCAAACAATAACATATTTTTGGGTAATTTTAATAAAAATGTGGATTCATGTAAATAAATATACAAAAAGAGTTATACAAAGAAACATGAATGGCACTTAAGTTTTGCATTTATCAATAAAAATTGAAACTGCGACCTTTGTAAAAAAAATATTTAAGCTGGGAATGATAGGCTATGATATGTTGTAATACTCAGATATTAGACAAAAAAATTATGAACAATAGTTGTGCTGTATTATTTTTCATAACACAGCACAAAGAAGCAAACAATTATAAAAAAAAACCTTCATTCACATTCATCTTTAGCTTTATTATATATTCAATAGCTATAATTTCTCGGTTTATACATGTAGATTCAGTAAATAAATGAGGTGACATGATTTGTAAAACACATTACATAAAACATCTGTACCTAAAGTTCCTTTCAATCACAACATCACTAGACAGGCTCACTTCAAACTTCAAATAAAATAATTTTATGCGTCATAGTTACAAAAAAAATATATTTGTACATTTGGAATAAGATATCAAGACACTTAAAGATACAAGAATAATATTCTCATCAAATAAAATTACAATAATTTTTTATTTTTAGTTTATCAGTTTGTGTCACCTGTTTCATTTGTATTCTTATTATTAGCAATCAAATTACTATTTCAAAATTATCAAACATTAAATATTTTTTTATATATTTCTAATCTAACATGGATTTAAATGCAGCTGAAACTACAATATGTGATACATTAATTTTTTCTAGACACATGTTGTAATTTTAACAAAATGTTTCTATACAAGAGTTACTGCTAAATTAGAGACAATAAGATTTTATTAATCAATTTGACATGTAAAATTGAATCCTGTAAAAATAATATAGGGCCTATTAATTAGCTGTCATGGTAACCAGATGACAATGATGGGTGCAATTAAAGTCCATTAAATACTATATATATTTTGATTAGTTGTCATAGGTAACCACATGACAATGAAGAATGATATTTAAGTCCATTAAATAACATAGTGTATTATGTGTCATAGGTACCGGTAACCACATGACACTGATGAATCCTATTAAAGTCTGTTAAATACTATGCATACTCAGATTAGTTGTCAGAAGATAACCACATTAAAATGAAGAATGATATTTAAAGTCCATTAAATAACAGTCTGATTATGTGTCATAGGTAACCACATGACAATGATGAATGCTATTAAAGTCTGTTATATACTAATATTATTATATTATTATTACTATGTCTACTCACATTAGTTGTCATAGGTAACCACATGACAATGAAGAATGATATTAAAGTCCATTCAATAACATAGTCTGATTATGTGTCATATTTAAACACATGACAATGATGAATGCTATTAAAGTCTGTTAAATACTATGCATACTCAGATGATTAGTTGTCATAGGTAACCACATGGCAATGATGAATGCTTTTTTTAAGTCCAATAAATAACATACTGATTTGCTGTCATAGGTCACCACATAAAAAAATGAATTTATTTAAGTCCAGAATGAACACAACGCTGTTCTCAACACATGTTCCATACGCCTGCAACACTGGTCAACAGGACGAAGGTCTTCACAAGGAGAACAAAATCAGTTTTCATGGTTGAGATATTAAGTAGCAGATTTGAAGGTAACATTGCCCGCTTCTTAAAATCGAAGTAATAGGCTCAAATTCATCAGTGATCATCCCCAGCTATGAGTCAACACTCCCCAGTAGATGGGACTCCTCATCCCAGTAAGGCAGCAGTTCTTGTGGAGGTGATAATCCCCGAGTAAAATACCTAACCACAGAAGTCAAAAGACAGCAGCCAATGTGGTGTGGGATTAAAAATTCAGCTATCAACCCAAAAAAAAAAAAAACATTTTAAAAATTGCTGCTAGTTAAGTCAAAACTGCTGGAATAATTCCACAACATGAACAACCTTTTAAAAAATAGCTTGGATTTACCGAAAGACAATGGGTCAAAAAGACATACATGCTATAAAAAACTTGGGTGTACAGTTAGGTTAAAGACATGCAATGAACTCATGTATATCATAATAATGCAATTGTAGAGAAACAAGTATTCTCATGCAGAATATTTTTGCATTAAGGAAAAAACATGAAGGGTAAAACTTTGACTAAAAGATTTTTAAAAATAATATGAAATAAAACATTTAATTTTCCTATAGCAGTGGTTCCCAGAGTATGCGCCGTGGTGCTCTGGGGAGCACGAAATATTACCCATGATTGGTTTTGCTTCCATTTTAAACTAAACGTGATGTTCAAGACATCTAGCAGGCATTGTGCACACCAGTAACTCACTTAGACAAGTTACTCCACTTAGACAAGTTAGCAATAACTGTTTGCTGAAGCCTCAACAAATGGTGACCACATGGTGGTCTGTAACCATTAAGTTTTCAATAGTTTCAGTAGTTTCTCAAACTTTTTCAGTAATTTTGATTCGTATCTGAATATCTGTCAGTCTCCTGCCGCCTTTGTGTCGAATGAGGTCCAGAGAATTTGATTTAATTTGTGACTTCTTTAAAGTGCAAAGCTGTGTTTCAGTCTGTCGCTGAGATAAAAACAAATTCAGTCTGTCGCTGAGCTAAAAACTAATTCAGTCTGTTGTTTAGATGAAAACTAATTCAGTCTGTCGCTGAGACAAAAACTAATTCAGTCTGTCGAAGAGATAAAAAATAACTGCGGTAAAGAAAAGGTGGAGATGGAAATGAGGGTGGCAGTGTTCAGATTGATTCTATGATTTGAGAAAATGTGCGGTGATCTATTCCAATATTTACAATTGGTTCAATTACATTTTTTGGGTGATTTAAAGACACATTTCATCTATATTTTCACCCAACCATTTAATTAATTTAAAAAAAATACTATTTGGTAGAGTACTTGTTAGAATTTGATGTAGGGCACTTGGAAAATTAGGCACTGCTCTTTGCAACAAAAAATTCAATAATTAAAATCTACCAAAACAGATTTGTTAAAATGCATAATCTGTTTAAATTATGCCACATATTGCTAAAACATATAACAAGTGTGTCAATGACAAATCTTTAAAAAATGAATTAATTTTAATCTTACATTTGTTCTCAAACTAATAAAAGTGTTTTTAAAAACATGGAGCAGAGAATGTGAAAAGATCAACCATTAAAAAAAAAGAATTTCAAATGTGTATACTGGTGCATATATATACATTCTCAGGCTGGAGATTTAAAATATAAAGATTTTTTAAAGTTAAAAGCAGAAAGATATTTGTTGTGACCTTGGCCCTCGGTTTCTGTTGTGGTCTTCGTTTCAGCATAAAATAAAATAGTAAAAAAAAACAGATAATCAATTCTTTCACACATAACCTGAATTTCTGCACAAATACTTTGGTAAAAATAGCACATTAATTGTTACAAGTAGTCTCTGATTGGAATATTAAATACTGTGATCAATACTTTCATAACAATATTTCTTTACCGCAATGATAACTAATTCTTGCTTTCAAAAGTCATGTTACTGATAATTATGAATTTTAAAAAAAAAAAAATATTTGCATTAACTGGCGCGATCAAGTTGATAAAAGTATTTAAGCACCTAGATATGATTTTAGATGATGGGAAACAATCAACTTAAACTATGAACAAAGTACAAATGATTTAGAAGATAAAATACTGTTAATTGTTTTAAATCCAATGGTAAGATTGCCAGCTATTCACGCTTGCTGTTCAATAATTTCCTCCTCCAAATCTCAGCAGATAACTGGGCACATAACACTAAAATATTCCAGGCCAAAACAACTGGAAACTGCTGTAAAGTTTTGTTTCTCTTCTTCTTTCACCGTATATACTTGTTCGTCAGTCCACTTTTTTTAGGAAATGTTTCGGGGGAATAGGACGGGTGTTAACTTGAGAGCGGGTCAGCTGCATTTTCATAGTTTTCTATAGGTACATTGAGTCAATAATTGAAAACGATGATAAAGCCAGGTGAAAATTGGGTCACATGTTTTGTCCTCAACTTGTGACTGCCGTGAGTGGCTTTGCTTAGAGAGTATCAAAGTACCTACATTGAATAATGACATTTTATAAGATCGTGGTAGCAGTTGAGATCTATCTTTAGAACGATAAGGGTTTAGTACCAACCTATGACCTCGATTTAATACAGCATTATGAGATCTTCACTTACGCAAATTGAAATTGATAGTGAGGCGAAAAGGCCTTTCTTTTCAAGTCGTAGTCATCTATTTATGGAAATGCTCAGTATGGTTACTGCGTATGCCGGGAGACACACGAAACGAGTATCTGTGTTTTACATAATACTGTATGTTTATTAGTTTTTTTAAGTCTTTTTATTTACCATATTGCTTCAAGTTCAAGTGGCGTATTATTTTCTGGGTTTGGCTCATGAGCGGGTCAGACACTCTTCAGGCTTTTCCCAGCCAAAAAAAAAACTAAGGGGGTCGTCTCATGAATGAATGGACTTTAGAACAAGTATATACAGTAAGCATTGAAAATATAAGGCACTTGAATTCGCAGAGGCATATACACTGTACTTGGAGATTAACTTTATAACATATATCAATTAACACATTGTTGTCTGTCTCTTCTAGACCATTCCTAAGCTACCGGTAATTAATACACATGACTTTTATCAGAATTTCCCCACCCCAAAACCCCCTTATGTTAATGAAGTGAAGATTAGAATTTTTATAGATACTGATCTTCTGTACTGGTTGTGTAGCTGTCAAATAAAAAGTGGAGGGATTCAAAAGTGGGCCTGTCGTCTGGGTTCTGGTTCCAACACTTGAGCATTAATTCATAATACTGCTTCGGGATCGGCATCGGTGGGTTCGCCGGCATCGTCATACGCTCACCACGTTCAATCATGCGTAGAACCTCATGGCCCTGCATACCTGAGCAGATCAAATTAAACAGGTGCTTTCAATTTCAATATGAAAATGGTCTTCAAATATTTATGAGAATAGAAAAACTGAATTAACTGATATAATTTTTTAATTAAAAAAAAAACAATATTTGAATGATGTGTGATACAAAACGCAACATACCAGGATAGGGAACTTTGCCAAATGTGATGATTTCATACATAAGAACACCAAAAGACCACACATCAGATTTTATACTGAATCGCCTCTCTATAGCTGCCTCAGGAGCTGTCCACTTAATCGGGAATTTTGTGTCTAGAAGGTATGTGTGTTTATAAGTGAAAAACATTGATGTGTATAAGTGAACAACATTGATGTGTATAAGTGAACAACATTGATGTTTATAAGTGAACGACATTGATGTGTATAAGTGAACAACATTGATGTGTATAAGTGAACAACATTGATGTGTATAAGTGAACAACATTGATGTGTATAAGTGAACAACATTGATGTTTATAAGTGAACAACATTGATGTGTATAAGTGAACAACATAGATGTTTATAAGTGAACAACATTGATGTGTATAAGTGAACAACATTGATGTGTACCGGGTATAAGTGAACAACATTGATATTTAAAAGTGAACAAAATTGAAGTTTATAAGTGAACAACTATGACTTTTGGTGATAGCAGAAAACCATTAATTAAAAAATTGTCACATTAAAACCAAAGTGAATATGTCCAGTAACGTTTCAGTTGTCAATAAAATCCCATGTTTACATTTCTTGCTTTCTTCACTGTTTGCTGTCAGTAAGTTTATAACTCTTAATTTGGTCTTCACTGTTTGCTGTCAATAAGTTTTGTACTGTTAATTTGTTCTTCACCGTTTGCTGTCAATAAGTTTTTTACTGTTAAATTTGTTCTTCACCGTTTGCTGTCTATAAGTTTTGTACTGTTAATTTGTTCTTCACAGTTTGCTGTCTATAAGTTTTGTACTGTTAATTTGTTCTTCACTGTTTGCTGTCTATAAGTTGTGTACTGTTAATTTGTTCTTCACCGTTTGCTGTCAATAAGTTTTGTACTGTTAATTTGTTCTTCACCGTTTGCTGTCTATAAGTTTTGTACTGTTAATTTGTTCTTCACTGTTTGCTGTCTATAAGTTTTGTACTGTTAATTTGTTCTTCACTGTTTGCTGTCAATAAGTTTTGTACTGTTAATTTGTTCTTCACCGTTTGCTGTCTATAAGTTTTGTACTGTTAATTTGTTCTTCACTGTTTGCTGTCTATAAGTTTTGTACTGTTAATTTGTTCTTCACTGTTTGCTGTCTATAAGTTTTGTACTGTTAATTTGTTCTTCACCGTTTACTGTCTATAAGTTTTGTACTGTTAATTTGTTCTTCACTGTTTGCTGTCTATAAGTTGTGTACTGTCAATTTGTTCTTCACCGTTTGCTGTCAATAAGTTTTGTACTGTTAATTTGTTCTTCACCGTTTGCTGTCAATAAGTTGTGTACTGTTAATTTGTTCTTCACCGTTTGCTATCAATAAGTTTTGTACTGTTAATTTGTTCTTCACCGTTTGCTGTCAATAAGTTTTGTACTGTTAATTTGTTCTTCACCGTTTGCTGTCTATAAGTTTTGTACTGTTAATTTGTTCTTCACTGTTTGCTGTCTATAAGTTTTGTACTGTTAATTTGTTCTTCACTGTTTGCTGTCTATAAGTTTTGTACTGTTAATTTGGACTTGCAGACATATTTTAGTTTGCCCATATTTGTTTCTATTGGTGACAGAAAAGGTCTGTACTTCAACTTTTCATCATTTGTGACTTAGTGCCTGACACAGGTCCAACAAGTTAGGTATTTAGTCCTAGACCTGTCCAAGGAGTTAGGTATTTAGTGCTATACCTGTCCAAGGAATAAGGTATTTAGTCCTAGACCTGTCGAGTTAGGTATTTAGTCCTAGCCCTGTCCAAGAAATTAGGTATTTTTAAGTAAAGAATTCAAATTTTTTAATACTTGTATTGTTAGTAGTTGCTAGAAACAAGCATGATCCATCAAAAGCTTTAAGTGGTCAGTGCAGGTGACATTAAACAAAACTTTTAGAGTTTCATCTGTATATAACACAATTTCTTCCTTATGAATCACTCATCACTGAAGCCATTCGTGCCAGCTATATTAAATGGTACAGTACCTTGATTAGCATTGTACACTTGTTCATCCACCATCCGTGCCAGTCCCAAGTCTGCTATTTTAACACTGTAATGATCACCAACTAAAATATTAGCCGCCCGCAGATCCCTATGGATATACTGTTTGCTCTCCAAGTAGGACATGCCTTCTGCAATCTTAAGAGAAAATTTTTTAAATTCTTATTTCTATATGGTGCTGAAGTCCAAATGAAACTTCTAAGACCTTAAAAGTTAAAAAATTCCAATTAATCTTGTGCAAACTGTCTCTAATGCTCCTAGTGAAGAGTAAATTATAAGAATCAATATCCTATACTACTTTAAACCAAATAATTGTATTGGTCAATTTACAAAGTGAAAATATCCAAATATCATTGACCAGTATTTCCATATTAACTTTTCAGTTTATGCACAAAAAAAAATTTTTTAACATGGTACACATGGCAATGAAAAAAAAAAAAAAAAAAAAAAAAATTTATTAAAAAAATAAATCTCAGGTGTGCCAGGAATATCTTCAAAATATATAATCTTGAAATTAAAATTTAAAAAACAACAAAAAACAGTGATTATTCTAGATTACAAATATCACAACTATTTCTTATTGATATCTATTTAAAATTGTGCCTAGTTAGTAAGTTACCTGTGAATTCACAGTAATAAGTTGGGTAAATTTAAGTTTCTTCCCTGTGTCTGAACGAAGGAAATCTAGAAGTGCCCCATGAATCATCAGTTCTGTTATAATAAAAAATGGCTCATCCTCTGACACGACTGCCATCAACTAGAGCAGAATAGAGGAATAAACAGGTTTTACTGTTAATGATCTTAGAAATTTTTTTTTAAAAAGTGTAAAAAATTGACCCTTGCAAAACAGTCAACAGAGGAAAACCCCACCTGAACACAACTAGGTTAATCACAACATAAATTTAATTTTTGCAACATTAAGCAGTAAAAGTAAATCTAAATTTACCTGAACAATTCTTTCATGGGTCAACGTGTGCAAAAATCTAAATTTACCTGAACAATTCTTTCATGGGTCAACGTGTGCAAAAATCTAAATTTACCTGAACAATTCTTTCATGGGTCAACGTGTGCATAAATCTAAATTTACCTTAACAATTCTGTCATGGGTCGATGTGTGCATAAATCTAAATTTACCTGAACAATTCTTTCATGGGTCAAGATGTGCATAAATCTTAATTTACCTGAACAATTCTTTCATGGGTCAAGATGTGCAAAATTCTAAATTTACCTGAACAATTCTTTCATGGGTCAACGTGTGCATAAATTTGGCCTCTTGTAAAAAAGCCTCAGATGACATCGTGTTTGGTTTTAATTTTTTCACAGCAACATCCACAACTTTTCTAAATTTCCCTGGCAAAGAAACAAAAAACAAAAATAAATAAATTCAAGCATCAATTTCTTAAATTGAACAAACGTTTTGAACAAACGTAGATACTTCGATGAAACAAGGGAGACTACTATTTTTTTTGTATCGGAAATGGGCGTCGGCGCCGAAAAATCCGAGTTTTTAATTTTCCGATGTGTGTGTCTATTTATTATTAAATTAGTTCTTTCCACATAGATTTGAGTTCCGTTTCCGGCCTTATAATTTGGAAGACATCTTGGCCTACATTTCTAGCCAGCTATTTTGCTTTTTTCAATCGACCTTTATTTTGAAAATCTTTGGTATATATAAGGCATCTTCGCATACAAAATTTTTTGTGAAATAATAAGATAAGGTCCTTTTTGATTAAATCTGTATGAGCATTAGATATTGATCTATATCTGTGCCAAGTTTCATTGATGTAGGTCGTGTCTCACGTTTGTTACACTTGTCACAGTGACCCATATCACCATAAGGTGGCTCAGCCTAATTTCGACATGGCGTGGGCCACGCCCCCTTTTTAATGGCGGAAGTTGCCGATACTTAGGAAATATTTAATTATTACCACTATATACATCAAAATATTTTATATTTTGTGTTTCAGAATGCATTTTGAAGACATTTAAACTGGAAATGTTTTAATTTGAGCTTTAAAAACCCTGCAGAGTCCATATTATAAATGATCAGAATTTTCCCTGTGCAACACGTTGTCATTGGCAACCATTCACAGCCACTTGCATAACGGCTACGTCGTAGTACTATCTCAGAGTTTCATTCATAAGAGTTTGCCGTGTGCAAAAGCTATTAAACCATTGGTCAGGGAAAGCTTTTATTAATTATTCATGTGCCAAAGTTGAAAGTTTAAAATAAGTCGACCCTAAACAGTATTTTAGCGATAGGGAATGCGTTGCCTTATATAAACTATATAGGCATTGCGCATGACGCGATCAGTGGAATGAGGTCACAGAATGTGGAGATGCAGTCCATGTTAAAAAATGACAAACCAAGTCGTACTTTAAAAATTCATAACTTTAAAACTACAACAGCTAAAAATATGATTTTGGTGTTATAATTCTGTTTAAAATTAGCTCTATTCAGCTGTGCCATTGGTTGATTTTTAAAAAATGTTTACATTTTTGACCAAAGTATCTAAACAAACGTTTTAAAAAAAATATGTATAATATTTAACACTAACAACTTGTAATATTGAAAACCCAGGGAAAATTAGACCCTAAAGACCCATAAAGATCTGGTGTAGACAGAGACCTGGTGCAGACATAGAGAGAGGGATCTGGGCAGTAGAAAAGTGACACTGAAGGCAACTCTGACTGAACCAGCAGATTAATAATGGTGGCCATTGTTTGGCTGTTGCCTCAAGCACTGAATGAGTCAATCTAATTACCGGTATGTGAAATTACTCAAAATACAAAATTACTTACACTGAAATCAAAATGTATGCATTGTTTGAAATAATTTAGAAAATATTTAGAAGACCAAAGAAATTGTTTAACATTCTCTCTAATTTTTCTTCAGGTCTTTAGCACAAGACACATTATTCTTGGCTATATCTATAAGCTTATGTTAGAGTTCAGGTCTCTAGCACAAGACACATAAAAACACAGTGTAACATGTGCCAACCGTTATTCTTGGCTACATCTATAAGCTTATGTTTGAGTTCAGGTCTCTAGCACAAGACACATCCAAACACAGTTTAAAACCCATTTTTTAAAAAAAAAATTTTTTTTTTATTAGCTAAATATGAAACACTTTATCAGTTCAGCTTCCTGCAATAAACATCATTTAGAGTTGCAAGGTTTATGTGTAAATTTGACCTTTGTGTGTGCATTTGACCTTTCTGTGTACATTTGACCTTAGTGTGTACATTTGGCCTTTGTGTGTGCATTTGACCTTAGTGTGTACATTTGACCTTTGCATCACTGTTGATAACAAACAGCTTCAGCTTAATGTCAAGAAGCAAGCTTACCCTTCCAGACTTCACCAAAACATCCGGCCCCTAATTTGCTGACAAGATTAACAGCATCTCTGCTAACTTCTAAATCTCTGAAGATAAGTGCCGGAGGTATGCGAGGGCAAGGTATCGTCAGAGGACAACATAAACCGGTGGCATTTTCTGTTGGTAAATAAAACAAAATTGAACAGTCAGTATCCAGCTGTTAATCCTTTTTTAGCCACTTCAACAGTAAAGGAAGCCACTGCACTCTGTCGCACATAAAGACAGCCACTGCACTCTGAGACACATAAAGACAGCCACTGCACTCTGTCAGACATAAAGACAGTCACTGCACTCTGACACACATAAAGACAGCCACTCCACCCTCTCGCACATACATTAACAGGAAAGGAAGCCACTGCACTCAGACGCACATAAAGACAGCCACTGCACTCTGAGACACATAAAGACAGCCACTGCACTCTGTCAGACATAAAGACAGTCACTGCACTCTGAGACACATAAAGACAGCCACTGCACTCTGTCGCACATAAATACAGTCACTGCACTCTGATGCACATAAAGACAGCCACTGCACTCTGTCACACATAAAGACAGCCACTGCACTCTGTCACACATAAAGACAGCCACTGCACTCTGTCACACATACTTGTTTTGTAGTGTTCCACCAGGTGAAAGAGATCTTCAAACTGCCTGTTAGGACTAATATAAAATTCTCCATTGTCCATGGATTTGATGCGATAATGTTTGACTGTAGGATCCTCCTTAGAAGAACTTGCATGAAGGACCGATAATACATAGGTGGCTTTATCTGCCCAGAGCAAATTTAAATCAAAAGATAATTTCTGCCATATTTAAATGAATCAAATATACTAGTTAAGTTTAGTTGTCCATGTTTTCATACGGGCTCATTATTTGATCTATAATATTGTAAAGCAATATATTTCAAATATGAACTAGTTTTTTTTCTAACTTATGTAATACTAACATATAGCCCTGTTCTAAAGTAGCGAGTGTGATACTAACATATAGCCCTATCCTAAAGTGGTAAGTGTAATACTAACATCCAGCCAAGATCTAAAGTAGTAAATGTAATACCAACATATAGCCATGATCTAAAGTAGTAAATGTAATACTAACATATAGCCATGATCTAAAGTATTAAATGTAATACTAATATATAGCCATGATCTAAAGTAGTGAGTGTAATACTAACATATAGCCATGATCTAAAGTATTAAATGTAATACTAATATATAGCCATGATCTAAAGTAGTGAGTGTAATACTAACATATAGCCATATCCTAAAGTGGTAAGTGTAATACTAACATATAGCCAAGATCTAAAGTAGTAAATGTAATACCAGCATATAGCCATGATCTAAAGTAGTAAGTGTAATACTAACTTAAAGCCATGATCTAAAGTAGCAAGTATAATAGTAACATGTAGCCATGATCTAATGTAGAGAGTGTAATAGTAACATGTAGCCATGATCTAAAGTAGTAAGTATAATAGTAACATATAGCCATGATCTAAAGTAGTGAGTGTAATACTAAGACGTTAACTGGCTCACCTGTCGCAGGTCTGATTAAAAATGTCCCATTTTTGTGACCTGGCAGAAGTAACTTTTTTTCAGCATCATGGCGCTCATAATCATACCACCAACTTTTAAACAGAGGAAAAACAAAACGTTATGTCAGTTGGCATAAACTATACACGACTACAAGACATTTCAGATACTTGAACAAACGGCTATGTCAGTTGGCAGAAACTATACACGACTACAAGACATTTCAGATACTTGACAGGGAGATTAAACAACCAATAAAAACAAAGTTTTTTTTCCTTATAAATCTTTCATGTGCATTTTTGTTTCCATTTTGGATGAGTGGTTTTGATCAAACTTAGTGCACGTGAAACCTCACAGACTAAAGATCTATTTCAACCCAAATACGTCACAGATACAAAGCACGTAGCAACAGATACACACTTTATCTCCAAACCAAAACACACAACCATTCAACAAATCATGAACATTCCTTCCCCCCTTGGAAATCAGGAAAAACAGAGTTTCGGCGTTGGGGGTGGGGCTGAAAATTTGATGGAATGTTCTGTCATCGGCAACGAGTATTTAAGCCAGGTTTTAGCTCGATAGGATGATGGAAAGTGGGTCATTTGGCCCTCCCAAGATTTAGCCACAAACACTCGAACAAAAGAGAAGTGAATATAAAGTATTTAAAAAAGAAACAATTTCGTGACAGGTTTCATCCGATATGGTCTGTCAGCTCACAACTCAATAATTCCAATGTTCCAGATTAAATGTAATAATTTACCTCTTTGGGGTTTAGTCACAGTAATAAAGTAATTTGTATTTTACTAAAAGTAAGAAGTTTCTCACTCTTGACTCTGTGGGGTCTGATCATCCTTAATGACGTAGTTGCTGGGGATGTATCCCGTGTTCTTACTTTTCAGATGTGTGGCCAGCCACCAGTCATCCTCATCTGTTAACCTTCAACGGCAAGTACAACAACGCAATTATTGAGCGAGGGCATTTTTATGGTAGCTTTGTTTAATTTATGAACTATATTGATAAGTGTGTTATAGTTCCTTGAAAATGTATATGCATCTTTAGCCAGGTATGTTATAGTTACTTGAAAATGTATATTCATCTTTAGCCATGTATGTTATAGTTACTTGAAAATGTATATTCAAGTATAGCAAGGTATGTTATGGTAACTTGAAAATGTATATTCATCTACAGTCAGATATTTTGTAGTTACTTGAACATATATTCATCTATACCCACATATTTTATTGTACTTAAAAATGTATATTCATCTATAGCCACATATTTTGTAGTACTTAAAAATGTATATTCATCTATAGCCACATATTTTGTAGTACTTAAAAATGTATATTCATCTAAAGCCAATTATTTTATAGTATTTGAAAATGTTTATTTATCAAACTTATCGACTTACGCAGATCCATCCACCTCTAGAAGATCTCCTTTCTTGAATGATAAGTCATCATTACTGACACCACCAAAGTCGTAGAGAGCACGCACTGAAATTATTGTTCACCAGTTATGAGCAGTTCAAAAGCAGCTCATTAACATTAGACATTAAGCTTAAACAATGTTCACAAGTAAACACATCATTGAAAGATATATTTCTCTTAAAAGTTATCCAATTTTTTAAAGAAGAAATTACAGAATGACTGATCTTACCTTTTATTTTTGAACTGGTGGAACTGATGGAAGGTGGAATGACAGGTAGTGGTCTGTTCTGTGTTGACTTTGAATTGCCTGGGCTTGATGGTTCATCATTAATTGCAGAAGTGTTTGAAAAGTTTCGATTACGTTTGTTGACTTGTTTGAGCCTGTTAAGCCCAGCGGTTAATTTGTTACCCATGGTAGGATCATACAACGAATTTTACCTGTGTGGGACAAATACAAGTGTTTTGAAGAATATACTTTTAGTGGCAATTAATTTAATAATCACCTGGGCACCATTTCTTGTGGTGGTTTAATTATCATCTGGGCACCATCTCTTGTGGTGGTTTAATTATCATCTGGGCACCATTTCTTGTGGTGGTTTAATTATCACCTGGGCACCATTTGTTGTGGTGTTACAATTATCACCTGGGCACCATTTCTTGTCGTGATTTAAATATCACCTGGGCACCATTTCTTGTGGTAATTTAATTATCACCTGGGCACCATTTGTTGTGGTGTTATAATTATCACCTGGGCACCATTTGTTGTGGTGTTGTAATTATCACCTGGGCACCATTTATTGTGGTGTTATAATTATCATCTGGGTACAACAGCGAGAATGAAAGTGAAACTGTTGGTTTGTTTTAATTCAAAGATCTCATGAGTTTTCCTGTGAGACCAATCATTGAATACACATGTTTCCATAGACCAGTGGTGGGCAAATTTTTTTTGCAGGGGGCCCGCATGGAAATTAACCCCCCCCCCCCCCCCCTTACAATTTATCAGGAATCTAGAGTTACAGATTATAGTGAAATTAACAAGTTACTAGCTAACAGAATGGACAGTGACAGTCTGTTATCTGAAGTTGCATATTAGCAAAATGTTTAATCAAATTTGTGTAGCTTCAAACAGTTCTTAAAACTTTAACCTTGTTTTCCCAAAGGTCTTTGGGGTGGAAGTTTGACTGCTCCTGCTATATATGTATTTTTTCAAGGATAAAGCTAAATCTATTAATGACTTGTTTTTAAAAAAAAAAAAAATTGAGTGAAGTTACATTAAAAACAAAAGTAATATTTCAACAATTTGTGCACTAACATATTTTAAATTTTTTAAAAATTGTTCATGAAAATATAAATACAACTAAATATGAATACAAGTAAAATTGAATACAAGAGGAAATGAATACAACTAAATCTAAGAGAAAGTACCAACAGCTATTACCACTGAACACATGAAGCTGGACAGAATGCACAGAATTGTAGTAGGTAATGCTCCAGTGATTTAGGGACAAAAACACTTGACAAAAGAATTGAGCTGAATAAATTTTAGGTATCCATAACACAATTTCGTTAAATAAACAATCTTCACAAGTCTTTTGACTATACTATCTTATTTCTACCTTCAACAGGAAGTGAAATTCAGTGCCCTGCCTATATATTTAAGCCACCTTACCTGGTGTGTAAGAGAGGAAGGCCCCATGTCAGTTGGCTTATCGCCATAATCATTCAGGAAGTAAAATATCCTTTAAAATAAATCATCTCAAAGAATTGCTCCCCCTATGGCTCTGTGCTTGAAAGTTGCCCTTACACACCAGTGTGCAGCAGCAGTGCTTAAGGTGTGTGGCCAGATTTAGCTACTTTAATCAGTTACACCCAGCACTGTGAGCAAAACTGTAGACATGTTTAGGCCTTGACTTCTTCACATGAACAATAGACATCTGAACAGTTAGGAGTTGAATTTATTTTAATCATGTTTCATGAAACTCTCAGAGTGGCAATATTGAAATCATTTTACGATGCAGCTCAATAACAAAATTCAAATATCATTTTTCGCCATTAACAGAGAATTCAATTTAAATTTACTCATTGAATTCTTCAGACATTTTTTTTTTTAAAGATGAAAAGAACTTGATATAATAAAAATCCTTCATTTAAAAAAAGGGGGAGTTGTGGCACACACCTATACCCCTGTCATTATTCAAGTAAAACTCAAATGTATTCCAAATGTTGTTTTTTAAATTTTAAACTTTAACATACAAATTTTAGTTAAAAATAAGCACCTTTAAAGAACCCAACTTTTTGTTACAAATAAGTTCCTTTAAACAACACAACTTTTTGTGACAAGTAAGAGCCTTTAAACAACACAACTTTTTGATACAAGTAACAGCCTTTAAACAACACAACTTTTTGTTACAAGTAAGAGCCTTTAAACAACACAACTTTTTGTTACAAGTAAGAGCCTTTAAACAACACAACTTTTTGTTACAAGTAAGAGCCTTTAAACAACACAACTTTTTGTTACAAGTAAGAGCCTTTAAACAACACAACTTTTTGTTACAAGTAAGAGCCTTTAAACAATACAACTTTTTGTTACAAGTAAGAGCCTTTAAACAACACAACTTTTGTTACAAGTAAGAGCCTTTAAACAACACAACTTCTTGTTACAAATTAGCTTCTTTGAACCACAAAACTTTTTGTTACAAAACAAATAAGTTCCTTTAAACAACACAACTTTTTGTTACAAATAAGTTCCTTTAAACAACACAACGTTTTGTTACAAAACAAATAAGTTTCTTTAAACAACACAACTTTTTGTTACAAATAAGTTCCCTTTAAACAAAACAACTTTTTGTTAAAAATAAGTTCCTTTAAACAATACAACTTTTTGTTACAAATTAGCTCCTTAGAATCACACAACATTTAGTTACAAAGCAGCTGCTTTAAACTATACAATTTTAAATTATAAATGAACTAAAAATGTGAAGTAGTCAAACAATAAATGTGTCATTTCAGCTTCCTAAAGAATGTAAAAAGTTGTTCAAGTGAAATTTTATTGCCATTGTAAATTATCTCCCATAACAGACCATGTTATCTAGAGAATCAAACAAAATAAATAAAGATAAAATCAGTTTATGATTTATTCAATACCAAGTACCAAAAAAATAACCATTTTTTGGGTACCTGATTTTTTAATTAATTTTTTTTTAAATCTAAGTGTGTGGGCATGTCCAAGAGTAGCACTTTCACACAAATGAAAGAGGAAAACAAGTAAATTGAAGAGCAATTTAAGGGGCCAAAATGTTGCTTACATGCTGTATTGTTGGGGATCAAAGTTCCTGGGGTCAATCCATTTTGTTTGGATGCTAGTTTATATACGATAAATATTGAACAATTTTTTTTTAAAAAATGAGAATTTATAATGTCAATTCCCAGTGAGGCGGTATGTTACTAACCAACTCCTATCTTTTTGGCCTCTTGGGCTGTATAATTGATACATGTCTGGCACAGACCCTACATAAAGTTTTAAATGTCTGGCTCAGACCCTACATAAAGTTGTACATATCTGGCATAGACCACACAAAACAAATGTTTGACTTAAATATCATCCTTATCAAACAATTCTTTAAAATTCATACTTTTTGTTAGATAAAACCATCAGCTAAATAATATTACTTATTTGCCTTTGATGAATAAATTAAAATTAACTCAAGTCTGAAGATTTTTTGGGGTAAAAATTTCAATTATAAAATAATGTATATGATTAAATGAATCCCCTTGTGGTGTCAATGTGGCTTAACAGGCACTGGTCTCAACTTGGCTTAACAGGACCTGGTGTAAATGTGGCTTAAGAGGGTCCCACCCCCTGAGTTCTGGTAAAATAGGCAACAGTTACTACAGAAAACTTATACATGAAACTCATTCAACATGGGAACTTATACATTCAACTCATTCAGCAATGAGTAGCCATTATTCGCAACGATTAGAAATGATTAGCAATGATTGTTGAAATGACAAATGGATTATTGGCATTGAATCATAGGATATGTGTGGGTTTACCTTGTGATGAAGCAAGAATGTTGTCTGTCTCTCAACCAAGATGTATCGGGTTCAAATATTATGAGCCAAAATTATAACTACAGTGCTTTTTGCACTTAATTCCCAGTCTGGTTACAGAGTCTTTAGTATTGACACTGAAACATGGCTTAGAGCAGTGGTTCTCAACCTTCCTAATTCAGTGACCCTTTAATACAGTTCCTAAGGGTTGTGGCGACCCCCAACCGCAAAATTATTTTCGTGGCTACCTCTTAACTGTACAGTATATGTGTTTACTGATGGTCTTAGGCGACCCCTGGGAGAGGGTTGTTCGACCCCCAAAGGGGTCAGGACCCAAAGGTTGAGAACAGCTGGCTTAGAGGGTATTTACTGTTAGGATCATCCTAAATCTAAGGGCACCACCAGCCAATGTTCCCAATCTATGGATTGTGACAACCAAAATGAGGTTATGACCAGTATTTCAAAATTATCTTTTCAGTTTCAGCAAGGGTAAATGCCATGAAAAAACTCTGCAGTTGGCAGAAAGATGTGACCCACTCTCGTTCCTACGCCACTGACTCTTAATTAATAATAATATTGGGAATATGGCATTGATTTATTGGACTAAGTCAAACGACATATAGAGGTTTAACCACTTAATAATGAAGCCATTTTACTATTACGTTTAAGATAATACAAGTTTGTAATTTCTTAAAAGTTTGAAAGAAAGGGCTATAATAATGTTTATTCATAATTAATGTCATGCTAACCTTTCCCAATCTTTAAAAATAATAGGCTAATAGACATAAACCAATGAAGTGAGTGGAAATAAGTAAATTGGACTCAATTATTTTTAGTTTTTATTTGCTTGGGTATGTGATAGGTCTATTTCATCCAACCCAATCATTTTACAGATCTGATCAATTAAAATATATGGAAATATGTGTTAAATTATTATTTTGGAAAAAATTTAAGTTCATTGCGAGATGAACAAGGGGGTACGACATTAGAAATTAATATGGTTCAGGGATTTGCAAAAAGTGTGTGTGGGTGGGTGGGGGGTGTAACGTCCCAGGGGTTCTTTTAATAATGTTTATTACCAACTTAATAAAATTGTTAAGTGTGTCACAGGTGGGATGGACACAATTTTGAAATTTTTCCAAAGGCAGCACAAAATACACCACAGAATGTATGGGTGCATTTTATGAGTATAGCAATATCCCAATGTCCAAATATGTTACACACTGGAAAACTGAAATATATTATATATTGAATAGTAAATGAAGATGTCTTCAATGGTGTAATAATATTAATAAGGCTGGCGTTGGGTAAGGCTAGTATTGCTGTCAGCATAAATGTGATTCGTAGATTCCTTTCTCACATTGGCTAGAGCAACTTTATTGTCTCCCTCAGGTATGCAGCAAGACCCACCACCTACATCATTCCCTTCACTCGCACTGTATGAGTTGTGGGTTTTTACATATGCTGTATATAGCACAACAAAAATTATAGAAATGTTAAAGTTGTAATTTGAAGACAATGATATGTAGTCAGCAAAAGTAAAAGTGGAAAAAGGATGTGTAACATAAGCATAATACATTGTGCTATGGGAAACTGAATTACACATGTCAATTCGTATTAATAATATGATCAATAATACAGGCCTTTGCCTAATTAAAATAGAGCGAGTAGGCCTATTGCCTGGCAATTATTAAAATTATAATTAGTATTTACAGTCGTAGGCCTAAGCCTAACTAATAAATAATTATAACTCAGTTATTTAATTGTTTACCCACAAACTGACATAACAGCCAATCATTGCTGTTATGTAAACTTCTGTGGTGTTAAGGCCTATATAATGGGCCTCTACTGGAATTAATTATTAATAGCATAAATATGAATTAGAAGTTTTTACATTTTTTAAAGGGGGATAACTCTAATAAATTATATTTACTGCCTTTTTATAGATAGCTAAGCTAAATATTTCATGAGCTCATGTTTTGTTAAAATTTTCAATCCAACTTGTAGGACTCAGATGTTGGCCCTGCAAAACAAACCCGTAATTTATTTCAATTATTTCTTTATGGAAGTAATATTGAAGATAGTTCTGTTGGCAACACTCATGGTAGAGATCATTACCATAATTATAATAGAGTTGGCACTAAAGAAGTTCAAGTTCTCATAGTGGAAATAGTGGAGAATAGTGTATTAATGTATTAGTGTATTAAAAAAAAAAAAAAAAAAAAAAAAAAAAAATAATTTATTTCAATTATTTCTTTATGGAAGTAATATTGAAGATAGTTCTGTTGGCAACACTCATGGTAGAGATCATTACCATAATTATATTAGAGTTGGCACTAAAGAAGTTCAAGTTCTCATAGTGGAAATAGTGGAGAATAGTGTATTAATGTATTAGTGTATTAAAAAAAAAAAAAAAAAAAAAAAAAAAAAAAATAGTGTATTAATGAATTTAATAGGCTTTATTTAAAGAAATATGTAGGTTACTATGAATTATTTTTTTTTATCATCTTCTAGCCCAAATAACTTTATATTTATAAAACCGAAAGATTTGTGTCTGAAAAATGTATTTATATAATAAATAGGACCCACAAATGAGTATCTTTATATAAAGATAAACAGTAGCACAATTGTAATCACTGTTGAAAGGTCAAGGTCATATTCATTTCACATAGTTCACAGAATTCTAACATTTTATTCCTTGTTCAATTTACTCTCAGAATATCTATAATATGGGTCTCAGGATTCATTTTCTATCAGTTTTAGATTTATATATATACAAAATTACTAAAAAGTGTTGTGACTCCACAACAAATTGGCATGTGACAGTTCGTGGGTTAACCCCCATGGGATGGCTAGGCCGAACTATTGATCCAGGTTAGAATGGCGAAAAAAAAAATGCTGATCTATTGGCCCGATAATTCAAGCCTCAAAATTGGCTGGCTGGTCTTTGAACCAGCTAATCAGATTTCTTCTTGCATTTCTTGCTCATCTAAAATTTTAGTGGCGGCATCCATGTGTTGTTATTTTGTATCAATTTTTGTGTACCCACAGACCTGCTTACCCTCAAACTATTAAAATCGTACAATATCATTCAATATATTTATAAATAGTAAAAAATAAACATAGAGTATATATAATGTATACATCTCAAAATCGTACATTGTACGCCAAAGTTGTAAGAGTAAACAGGTCTGTACCCAGTACATTAAAATATGTGACAAAATATGTCAAAAGGCATAAGCAGCCCCAGGGGAATATTCTATGTAGTTTTTCAGTTCATATTAGTTCATTCAATTCCCTACAACAATAAATATTGTTTTATTTTTGTAAAGTAATTAGTTTATTTATTTTTTAGCAATATGAGTGCCGAGCATGTAAAAAAGGCTCTGTCTTCTTGGCACAGGCATAAGCAGCCCCAGGGGAATATTCTATGTAATTTTTCCGTTCATATTAGTTCATTCAATTCCCTACAACAGTAAATATTGTTTTATTTTTTTAAAGTAATTAGTTTATTTATTTTTTAGCAATATGAGTGCCGAGCATGTAAAAAAGGCTCTGTCTTCTTGACACAGACACTCCAAAAAGGCTCCATCTCAAAAGTAAAAAAAAGTGTTAAAAAATATAATTGGAATATTGGTCTAATATTCAAGTTAACCCTCAAGTTAATCACTTTTGTCTGTTACTACTCATAAAAAATAATTAGTATTAATAATTAAATTATAAAAATTGTAAACAGTGGTCTGAGTGGTTTGGGAATAGTAAACATGGTGACATGGTGAGGTGAGAACTCAAACTACACTAGACTAAAGTTACACAACACCTACAATGAATACGCACCTGAACTGCACTTTTACCACACTGTCTACATGCTACAGTGACAGTACCCGAGTACAACTGTGTCACTATTACTATTAATTACTGCCCACCCAGTCCACCACTGTCACCGTTCCTCGTTTTCCTTTTATATTCATTTCAAATTTTTGGTGCAATCAATTAATAATCAAGCTTACCTTCAAAACTGGATTTTAAAATGTTTACACTCGTCTCACACTTTTTTTTATTAAAGACACATCCTGTTTTAAGTCAATGATCCTATGACTCAATTTTCCGTCACACTTTATAACTAGGCTATATCTTTTTTTGTCATCTAAATTTATAAGACGCGGACTCCACTGGCCCAATAACTGGACATTTCCAAGTAAACAAAGGGACTTTCTGGGTTATACCTACATTTGAATGTCGTAAAATACTTTCAGACCATCCCGTTAGCCTTTGAAAGGGTCTCAAATTGTTAATATTCAAGTAATAATTTGAATAGCATTTAGAGACATGTTAATATTTAAAACGTCGATCACATATTATATTTATTTAAAATTATGAGTAATTAAGTATACGAGACTTAAGTGGAATTCGATTGAATGGTAAGAAATTTAATTTTTAAAAGTTAAAATTTTAAAAGTAATTTAGGCCTACCGCTTAACGTTTATCTTATTTTACGACATATATCTCTTAAGTCAAAATTAAAATGGCGACCGGATCGGCTCGCCCGGTCCGTAATCTAAAAGCTGGGCGATATCGGGGTAAGCTTTCTAACGTATATTTATCTATGATAAATAAAATCGAAATGTTGTTATTTTAGTGCAGGTAAATAAATCCTCTGTTTTTTCTACCCAGTTCGACACGAAAGTGCTGAAGATGTTGTCATAAAACTGGACCACAGTAGAGGTGATTTTAATTATTTATCTTTTTAAAATTTGTTTGTTGGCGTTATATTTATTATAAAAAGTGTGTATAACCTAAGCCTAAGACTATCGTTTTTATATTTAATTATATCATATTAAGACTACCTATGCCTTACCAAATTTAGCTATATTTGCAAACTATTTAACATGGAATATGATTAAGGAAACCAGTCTAGAAATTAGTGCAAAAATTTGTTTGTCAATGTTTAGTCTCGTCTCCCCACCCCCCCCCCTCCCCACTTTTATCAATTCAAAGTCTATGCCTATATAATTCTATTATATTGACATTTTATTTAGTCCTATTTAATTTATTAATGAGACAATTATTATTTTTGTCATTGCATATGACTTTTCAACTTATCATCTTTCTTATTAATCTTATGTATGTCCATTGCCATTAGAATCTAGATTTAAATTCAAGGGTAATTTCTAGATTCTAGTCATCAGTAAAAAATCAGTTTAAACTTAAAATTAAAATTTAGAAGTTATTCTTAGTAACTAGTAGTGGTAGGACTAATACTAATAATAATAGTATCAATTCTAATTTTTAACTGTAAAAATTTAATCATTTAGGCTTATTAGTTATTAGATTTAGGCTAATTTACGAATACTAATAAAGTGATAGACATAATAGTAATAGAAGAAGATGAAATCAGAATATTAGTATTATTTAGTATTATTGTTTTTAACAAATTTAGTTTGCTATTAAAACATTTTGCAAAATTATGATTAGGAGACTATAAATAAATGTCATCACTTAGTAGTCTTAGATGAAAAATTCATTGACATATTAATTAGTAGACAAGGTAGGGATAACAACACTAGTCCACGCACCGTTCTGCGCATGTCCTAAAATGTCGAAAAAACGTGTTCTGCAATATGGCGTACAGCAACACAGTATCATTGGAAAATTGCAGACTACGTCACCTTTGTTTATTAAATAATTGCTTTCCTCATCACTGACATATCAGTTTTTGTGTTCCGGTCATATATTGATTTATGCTACGATATTTTTTTTTGCATCACGGGCAGTATTATTATGATGACTCGGTTAGTATATAAATCGCTTAAATACTTTTTTACAAGTAAAGCCACCAAAATACGGTTTAGTGCTCCCTAATCTACATTCATTGTAAGAGTTTTTTTCATTTGTTGAGTTATTATCGTTGAGCTCTCGATAAAAAGTTATGCAACCCGCGAATAAGTGGGGGGTATGAAATTATTATTATTTTTTTATTTTGAGCGAGAAGCCAGAAATGGCTGCTATCACTGTTATTCGTTAATGTTAAATCCTTAAACATCTAAATAATTTTAAGACGTTTAAAATGAATCATTTTAAGAAAAGATTATAAGCAAACTTGAAAAGTTTATGTAGTAACCAAGGGTTGGTTTTAAGTTTTATTTGTTACGTTAAAAATTGTGTAGGGTACCAGAACACAGTTTATAGTTCATTTATTATTGAATCAATATTTAATAGTTTTACAATAGTAATATCGATAATAATAATCGTTTTTCTCTTATTAATTATTTCAGATATTACTAAAATTAGGCCTACTTATCATTATCAGTTATAATTATAACTATAAACAACTGTTATTATAATCTTATAATTGTCTATTTAGGCCTTAGCTTAATTTTTCTTACTAATAATTTTTATCTATAATTACATACTTTCAATTTTATAAATAAAAAAGACTACTTACCTACTTAAAATTAACACAAGCATAATAAAATTAGTTAAAATTCAATAAATAATAATAAATATGGACATATGGTGTTTGTTTTTTTTTCCTGTATAAATATTGATTTTCCCAATTTTTCTGTTCACTTTTTTCTGAACATACCCACAAATAAATTTATAAAAAAATAAAAGTCTTAATGTTATATAAAAGTTTTGTTGTTTATTATACTGTATATTGCATTGAGAATGTCTCCTGAAAATTTGGTAGCATTATCTTTTAAAATCAAAAAGTTTTGGTTAAAATAAGGCAGAAATTTTGAAAGTGGTTCACATGTTTTTTCAGTTTAATACTAAGATAAAGAAGGGGGTGTTTAAAAATCACCAAAAAAAATCATAACTCCACTTCTATAAAAGATTTAAAGATAAAATTGGTGTTGTTGTAAAGCTTATAGCTGGCCCTTTAAAATGATGTATCATTCATGGCAATTTGACTATATTTAAATTTTGTGTCAAAGTACCTAGACAAGGCTTAGTAGGCTAGATTCACTGGCATTGGCAGCTCCTTTTTCTATATATTCAAAGCACCTGAGCAGATTTTTATGAAGAGAAGTTTCGGAGGGGGGCGGTGCCTTGAAATTGAAAGCACCTTAGTTGTGCCATGGTCATTTGTGTATTGCTAGTCATAGTTAGTACTGCATATTAACTATTAGTATTAACCAACTTATTTCCCTACTTATCACAGAATAATGTCGGTAATGGCTAATTTATCAAGCTTATTTGGAGTTAGACTATAGTTGTAGTAAGCCAATTATATATTAAATGGGTATAGTTTAAGCATGAATAGTATAGTTTTCATTTCCTGTTTGAACTTTTCTTAAAGTTAAACAAACATTAAAAAAGACAATAAATAATAGTTGTTCATGAAGAAGACTTTTAATATTTATATTCATAAACTGTCACAGACATTAGACTGATTCTCAGATTATTCTAGCTGTAAATAATTGTTTGTCCTATTATACTGTTTTTCATTGAATTTGAACGCGTTTCAGATCCAGGAGAAAATGTTAAAGAAATATTAAGGAATGTTGTTGCTCAACATGGAGTTACAAGCAGTCGTAAAACAGCATATCTTAACAGTTTTGTCAAGCTAATTAAATATGTTGGTTATAATAATGGCTTGGGTATACCCATTCCTGACATATTGGCTTGGTAAGTGATGTTGTTATAACTTTTTGTTGTCTGCACGTTCAAATGTTTTACCATATTACATCATTTAATGTCCATTGTTTATCATTTAACCTCTTCAGTGTAAGTAGAAAGCAATCATATTTTAAATCCAGCAATCAGTTGCTATAATATTAATTTTAATTAGAATCAATTAAGCATTAAAGAATAAAATAATTTGGCAATTATTCATTAATTTAATGATACATTTTTTTAAATTCAAAAATTATGTTTTGAAAAGTTACTTTATTATTATAAAAGTAAGGTGAAAGCTTATTTAATATATTTAAAATTTACGAGAGGGTTTGACAATTTCCAGAACCCCAGCCGATAATAACCAAGGCATGATGGTACATAATAATGTAAACTTAGTAGTTAAAATGCTACTAATGGGCATCAGGCTCAAAGTACCACAAACAAATAAGAAGAGGAAGGAAAAATTGGAAGTGTTTTAAAGCACAAATTATCTGCATAAATAATTATTCCTTTACACCATACTTTAGTACAAATGTCACATGTGTTTATGACCTAACATCTAACAAGTTACTGCCCTTGAAGATCAATGCTTGTGATATAATCTGCAGCCTTGAAATCAGTCTTCTGAATGACGCCAAGCAGGTTCGAACAGCATCACTTAGAGTTATTCGCTACCTCTTGCCTTATGAAGAAACTTTGGACACATTCTTACTTTTACATTTTGATTTTTTAGTTGCAAGGTAAATATGATAAATAAAACAAAGTGCATTTAAAAATAATTGTTGTTTAAAATAAGTAAATGCGAAAAGCTAAATAAAAACACCAAATAACATATGATCAGTATTTTCAATGGATCGGATATTATGTTGTAGTTGTTTGAGTGCAGCAGGAGATTTAATATGATGCAGTATTTATAATAATTTAATGTATAGAAATGAGCACGCTTCAATGTTATTACATTATCAATTCCATGTACTTAATGGTCTGCTCAAGTATGGAAAATCAATAGAAAGCAGATAGCTTGACTCTTTCTCTCCGGAATTATTTTCCGTGTTCTGCGTTTTTGTAACGCACTACTATGTTGTCTCTAAACCTTCATAACTTTTTTGTTTTTCATCAGAAAGTGCTAAGTTTGGTATGGAATTAAAGGAGAATGTATGCCCTTTGCGAGCAAACCAGACTTGGGTTTACATTTTCAGACCTGTTTACCCTCAAACTCTTAAAATCGTACAATATCATCACAAAATCAATCAATACATTATCTTAATAGTAAACTAAACATCAGTATATATAATGTATACACCTCATAATCGTTCATTTTACGCCAAAATCGTACGAGTAAACAGGTCTGCATTTTAATAAATAAATGTGATTATCATTTCAGAAAAATAAAAATTAAAAAAAAAACCTACCAACTGTTCACAAAACGCTCATTCCAAGTCACACGAGGAGAAATATATAGTCCAAAGTGTAACAAAAAAGTTTTTTTCTGAACTATATCCATATGTGCATCACACATAATAAAGATCAACTTAAAAAACGAATAAAATTAAACCTCAGAGCACATTATCCATTGTCACCGTCACACAAAAAATTTGCAAAATTTTTTTTACTATTTCCACTAGAAACAATTTGTTGCTATTATAAAATATTTGCACTGTATTCTTGTATGTACTAACATTTATAATGGTAAATGGAACATTTACCATACATTTGTCATATCTTTTCATCTGTATTTAGCTATGGTAAGCCTAAAAACAATTCATATTGATGTGCACTTTAGCTGGGGGAGGGGCTGGTTGTTCATCAGCTGATGAATTACCAATTTCATTATTTCGTTTCTACTTATACTAGTTGTAGGATTATAATCATATTATTCAAAGGAATCAGCTTCTGCATTTGAAATAATAAAATCACTGAATCATCATCAGAGTAATATTTTCAACCGTTATTAGATCGATCACCAGAGGGGTCAGGTCAAGATTTCATGTTTGTAAACAAAAATAAAATGGACAATCAAAACAACCGCTTCAAACAATTCGTTCTTCGTTCAAACACAGAAAACCAGATGTTTATCGCAGGGAAATCATTCTAGAATTGATTTAAAATAACTAAATACCAATAGCTAAGAAAAGAACCGAAATAAACAGGTTTGCCAACGCCGATACGCCAAAATCTTCATTTCAAATTGACAATGGGAGCGTTGTTCCGGAGAGAAAGAGTTAAGTAACAATCACCAAGATGAATTTAGCACAGAGAAAACTGGATTCAAAAATGTTTTTTATGTTTGATCACCAGATGTCTTGATGTTAGTCTTGATAACGAAATTGAACGAATCCATGCAGTAAAGCTGATCAGGCAAATCATCAAATCCGCACCTTTAAAATTTCCAAAGTCGTTGCTGTATGTGTTAGTTGCTATTGGCAATGATGGAGCAAGTGAGAGAGACAGGATGGTCAGAGTGGCACTTGAGACAATATGTGAACTAGGTTTGTTTCCCATTTTTAAAATTTGTGTGACACCCAGGATAAAGTTTCCATCTTCATAAATGATACAGTGCCAGTTGAATTTTTATAGCTAATGATAATAAAAATCTTGAATACTAAAAAAAATCTTGAAAACTAAAAGAAAAACATTTTTCTCCCTCATTTGTGTAAATAATGTGTGAAGCAGTCACCCAATATTAAAAAAATAAAATAATGTCTTAAGATATAATAAAAAGTCACCAGACTTGAAGTTTCCTTTTATTATGGAAAAAATGACCAGCATTTTGAGAGAAGCTTTCATGTTTTCCCACCAAATCTTATTTTAGCTGAGTAGTAGAGGGAGGGAATCGTATTGGATTTACAATTATGTTTCAAGTTATCTTTTTTTAAATTATTATGCTCCACAGCTTTTTCTAATGTTGATCTAGTGGCTAAATGTGGAGGCATACAGACACTGATCTGGAACATATTGGACTGTCACCAGTATCCACGACTTAACGAAGCATTAACTTCCACTATCATATTTCTGCTCAATCATCCCCACACCCGACACTTCATCCGTCCACAGGTGGATCTAGAGGTCAGTGGATTGTAGTTATGGACTCTTCAATAATTTAATGTTCTATAAATTTACATTCCTCAACTCTTTTCAATTCTCTTATATAAAAAGCATAACTATATATGCCGGTTATCTTTTCTCACAAAATTATTTTCTTTTTCCAAAAATAACAAAGTGAGGTGATATGTGGTGGATAAGAGATAATGAAATTTTTTTTTTAACTGATCGGGGCAGAGATAAATAAAATAGTCTATTTATTTCAAATTATCTGACAGGATATTGGATTTTCTTATGTGAACAGTAAAATAAAAACAGATTGTAAAGACAATCCAATATTGTTAAACTATACAATTCATTCCTTTTGGGAGCAGTTGATAAATTGATATCTCATCCCAAGGAAATCAAAACGGTACTGGATAACCCCTTTTTACATTTGCTAATCTTAGTAATATTGCCAGCTATAATCTCTGCAGAATTGTTGAAATGTTGAAAAGAAAGCTACCTAATCGCTAACTCTAAATTGATTTCATAGAGGAACTTGTTTGAGCATTGGGTGGATTACTTAAACTGATATTGTTCCAAGTGCCTTAAATAAAATTTCACAATATTCAAAAGAATGCATCCATTAGTTCCTTAATATACAGATTTAAAAAGAAATTGTAAAGTGTGGTATAAATTTGGAATCCAAAAAAGAAAAAAAATGTTTTAAATATTAAAAATCCACAATAAAAAGTAGCATATGTGACACTCACCTTTGCTTTAAAAAAAACAAAAACTAAGAATGAGTAACATAAATTTTAAATTTTCTACTGATATGTTTTGTTGTGTGTAAATAATTTTAACCTATATTTTTTGTGAATACTTTGTGGAGTGGTTGTGATTTTAAAAAAATTATTTCCCCTTTTTGACAAATTTTGCAAAATCTTCTATTTTTTTGTCAAATGCTCATAAAATGTCCTGATTTCGTCATATGACATACAAAAAAATGAATTTTCTTTTTGAATAAGCAGATTTTATGAAAAATTCCAGGTAGTTATTTAAACTAATTATGCATTATTTTTCTCACAACCTCTAAGTGTTGAACTCATATGTTTAGAAAAACATTCTTTAAACCCTCATGCATTTCCCCACACATTGATACATAAAATCTTGAACTTTCTAAATGGGTTCTAAAAGTTATTAAATCTTCTGTAAAGTCACTTGAAATCTCAAGAAAAATGTGAAAAGTTAAAGGAAAGTAAAGAGTGAAAAGTTTAGACTAAAAATCATGGCAAACTAATGAAAATTTTATTTTGCAGCGTCTGTTGGCTCCATTTACTGACAGTCATTTCCGTTACAGTGTTGAAGATGGAAGGAGGTTTGCACATTTTTAACATCATTAAAATTTCTTTAGGTACCAGGTATACACATTAAAAATATGGATACAATTAAGAGAAAAAATATGCTGTGAAAAAATTGTAAAATTTTATTACAAACCCTCTTTAACCACTTTATTACTCCATTTTAGTGATGAGAGAGACTCAAGATTTATTGCTAGCAAAATGGCTGTGATAACTGTAATGAGATCTTGGCCAGGTATTTAAGGTTTCCCTTTATCTTTTATTGGAATAAATAAATACGATTCATTAGTATATTCTCTGCTTGGTTGTATTTCCAATAATATTAAATAGATTTCAAATTTTTTACAAATGGTAAATCTACTTTCAACATGTTTATATCCCTTCCTTATGTATGTCTGATTTTATTTAATCTGTGTTGAACATCCATGAGAGCCCACTTCAAATTAAGGGATCAATTTCATTGACAGGTCTTATACGGCTGTGTCATCCAGAGGGATCTGGTATGCAGTCCCTAATAGGAATACTTTATCTTCCTTACGTAGAAATTAGGGTGAGACATTTTTAAATATTGAAGATGTATAATCAATATATGTCTTATTATAGTTCACAAATTCCTTTCTTTTATATAACATATATATGTACAATTATTTTTTTTACATTCAACCATTGAAAGAGAAAGTGAATCTATGAAAAGTGACATTTTATTTGTTTTCTCCTCTTACAAAGTATTGGTATTAAATTTTGTAGATTTATGTAGCTTCATTTTATTTTATAACTACAGAAATATGTTTTAGAAGTGATCTCTGACTTATTCCGTCTATCACTGCCAGTATGGGCAGAGGACTTTGGATCTGCTTTTGCAAGTGTTGGTGAGTGATAAAATGATGAGCTTTCATTAAAACTTAGCATTTTTATTTTATGTCTTTACATCTGCTTACTCATTATAATTATATTCCTGTACTTGTGATCAAGATAATTAAGCAGTCCTACACTATGATTTAAAAATAAATATATTTTATCAATGGTTAGCTGGAATCATAAAAACTGTCTTAATTCCATACAAATCTACCTGCAGATCCCAGTGAAATGAAAGATGTTTGGAAACTGACAGAAGACTTTGTAGCAGAAGAGGGTCGTGCTATTCTTCCTCACATATCTCAAACAAGGTATTTTTTCAGTTTAAAATATATTAATAATTAACTTAAACTAAAAAACAACATATCTTTGGATTGGATATTGGAACGTAATAAGCCTGCATAGAGCAGGAACCTTAGCCATTCTGATAGATGAACTTAAAAAAAAAAAATTCTATTGCTGCATTGCAAGAAATTCAATTAAAAAATTCAGACATCCTAGACCATATTTCATAGTGGCAACAACACCAGCACTCTTTGGGATAGGATGTGATGTCAAAAAGAAGCTGTCAGCACAGTAATAGGTTTTAAGCAAGAAAATGCAAAATGTGCTCTTTGCGTGTGCCAGGGAAAATGTTCAACATAATATTTATAAATGTTCATGCTCCTACCCAAAACACAGAAGGTCAGATAAAAGAAACCTGATACTAGATGCTGGAAAAGTTGTATGATGAGGCACCTTGACACAATATTAAAAAGATGGCTTTAATGCTAAAATCTGGAAAGAAAAAGATGTTATACCATTAGCATGGAGAGTTTACATGAAAAATTCAATAACAAGGGGATCCAACTCCAAGTCTTTGTCTCTGGAAAAGGGATGCTAGTTAGCAGGACCAAGTTTCCACACACAAAAATACAAAAGTTACTAGGAACTCACCAGATGGAATCAAGCAGAGAATAAGCTTAATACACAATGGCCAAAACTAACCAAAGATCCACTAAACCCAAAAGCTTACCACAATTAAGCACAACTAGAAGCATCACATGAGGAAATAAACAAGGAAAACCTCATAAAATTGGGATAGAATAACAAAAAATGCTATGAAAATATCAGCAGAAAAAGTAATACGTTTTCAACAAACTAACAATGGAGAAGGGTGGTTTGATAATGAATGAAGTGAGACTGTTTGAAGAGGAACAAGTCATGAATGACCCATGATACAAAGAGAAAACAGAAATATGAAGAAAATATCCAATGAAGCCAGAAAGAAAGCCACGCAAATGTGAAGTAAGAAAAAAAGGGCACAGGGAATATATAGATATCAAGAGAGGGAAATATTAGAGGAAGATAAAAGATGAAAAAGGATTCTAAGCCAGACCTCACATATATGAGAGCAAAGATGGAGAATAACTTACGGAAAATAGTTAAGTACTGAAGAGGTGGGCTGAATATTATGAGGAAACTATGGACAAGATGAAGATGATGAACCACCACATAAAGGACCAGCCCCTTGAATAAACTCTCCAACTTAGGAAGAAACTACAAATGTACATCAATTCTATGAAAAACCACACAGCCCCTGGAGACAACCCCATCACAGCAGAACTTACTTAATATTTATAGCCATTTTAATTGTTTCTATAGTATAGTAGTTACTAATCCTAATGTCTCATTTTTATTTTAGTTAGTTTACATGTTTTTAATAATTGTAAAGCGCTTAGAGCTTTAAGGTAAGTGCTATATAAAAATGCCTAAATTAATAAATAAATATTGAAGAAGAGAGCTAAAGTTTCTCCACATTATTTATCTTTGCTTATGACAACGTTTATGAGCATGATAATTATAAATCAAAATGAATGTCACAAATGAAACAATTAAATAATCATAGGGGTCCAAAAAAAAAAAAACCAAACATTTCCATCCACTTAGTTTTTTTTTTACTTTTACCAAACTATTTACCTTTGCGTAAGCCTAATTGTATGTTTTTTTGTCAAAATATTGGATATATTCATGCAGCTGTGAGCGGTGTTCACAGAGGATTAGTCATTATCATACCATGGCAGAAAGATGTCGAGCAGAATGAAATTCAGAATACCGGCCGCCAGACAGAGTGACAGTTTGACTTATGGTAGTTAACTGAAAACCTACATCACTTTTGGCCAAAACTGAAAATCAAACTAAAGTTAACTTTTCTGTATTGACCCAAACTGAACTAAGCCGAAAATGATAAAATGGCAAGTTTCTGCACCGAAAACCGAACTTCTGTTGGTCTCTATTAGAAAAAATGTTTTGAAAAAGTAAACCTATTCGAATATTTAGGAACCTAGTTAATCAGTGAAATGACTTACTAACAGAAATAAAAGAAAGAATATCGTCCGGAAACAGGGCATACTTCAGTAGTCACAAAATTTAAAAAAAATAGTATTACAAGAAAAACAAACAAAACAATATATAATATATAACTTGGACCTTAGCAAAAACAGCAGAAAACTTTTTAAATTTGTGGGAGAGAAAAGGTCTCCATAAAATACATGGACTAAGAAAGGATGAATATGGGTGGAGAATATGAAACAACCAGGAAATGTATGGACTATATCAGGATCCCATGTGAGTAGCAGAAATAAAAAAAAGGGACAGGCTGTGTTGGGATTAACACTTAGAATTTTAATGCTTTCTCATCTTATTCCTTTTAGGCCGAATTTAATAGAGAACCATTTAGCCCTCTTGTTGTCTGCATTTTTCACAGCTGGACTATGTGAGGTAAGACAATGTTTTAATGTTTCTAAACATGTTGAACTTTTGAAAATTCTGAAATATGAAAAATGAATTATTTCTAACTTCAAACATTATTCACTCTAGCTGTAAGAAATGAAATAATAGATTGATATAAAATATGCCTGTGACACATATGAAATTTTTCTATCAGGCCTTGATTGAAGTTGTGATCACAAGCACTGGTGCTTTATTTAACAGAGTTGTACTATTGTTGGGAGAATTACTTCACATGGTAATAAATATTTATTTAATTCAAATACTATGTCATTTGGAAAGGAAACAAGTAATATATTTATTTTATTGCATAAATTGTACTTTGGTGAGAACTAATGCAAAATTGACTTAAGTGTTGTTTATATGTAGGCCAACAGTCTTCTTCCGCAAGAATGTATGCATCATCATGAATGTCTTCCCTCTCTTATATCCCTTGCCTCCTCAAGTGAGACAAATAAAGACAAAAGACAGTAAGTGAGGTGTTTTATTTGATCATTGAGAATTTGGCCTTTGATTATAACCTAACTTAAAGACTAAAGAATGCAATTATTTCAATTATTCACGTTAGTTAATTTTCAAATGCCATTTATAACTTATTGAATAATTCTTAAAAACATACTAAAACAGTTAGCAAATTAACTGATCATTTATCATTGGTGACGGGATCCTGTGTACCATGTTTATTAGTAAATTATATCTTTGTGAGTATAAAATAGGAATTGGGAATGTGTTATTTTTTCAAAGGATCATGTGTTGTTTTTTTAATATTGGCCTTATAATTTGTCTCTTCTTTTTAGTCAGGCCTATCAAGCAGTGATGTACCTGACTCGTTTTCACAAAATGATGAAACGTGGTCGGAGACCTTGTTCTATATTTTTAGACCAGTTGTTGCAGCATGCTGGAAAGATGTCAGAAGTAACAAGTAAACACTGGTATTTACGGCGGGAGAAGTTATCGGAATACTATTTCAAAAAGGTAAACATTAAGTCTGACAGTTTTTAGACCATGATTATAGATACAGCTACACATTTGTTGTGGCTCCGACATAAGCTATGATTGTAATATATTTTTTAATTTCATCCATTTTAAGCCACAATGAACTGTAATTTCAGGATAACAAGAGTTACAAACTTTAAATGTTGTGTCTGCGTCCTTCAAATTGTTAGGATCATTATTATCAATTATCAGTGCAAAGTTGGTCAAAACTTTGACTTTCAGGTGACTTGTGACGATATGACCAATCAAGCCATCAGAGACTCCCAAGTGAATACAACTAAAGCTAACTCTGATTGGAACTGGTCTGTGATTGCTGCGATACTTAAGGTAGATATTTGATTACTTACTATGTATATCATATTTACATTTACTGATTGTCATTAGAATTAGAGGCATTAGAATGGTGAAAACAAAGAATATAGTCGTCCGATATCTTGGGAAAGCATTACATAGTGAATACACTTTCAAAAACAGAATCATTGAAGCATGCCTTGTAAAGCAAACATTGAAGATGTAATATTTGATGGTAAATATTTTTCAACATTTTTCAGTGGCCTGATGAAAAGCTAAAAAAATTAGATGATCAAAATCAACATAGGTAAAGTCAATTTCATTTTATTTATATTAGGGTTGATTCCCTTGGAAAGATATTTTCTTGGAATTTATCCTCTTCATATTTTGCAATCCTTTGGTGTATAAAGTTTTGTACAAAGACAACCATAATATCATGTTAGTTTGCATTGTAGGTTTAATTTTGCTGTCTGTTTATTAAATTTCACTGATTTTACCCATTTTATGCATATAAGGAATGAAGAATGATGTAATTTTTTAAAATAATTACTTTCATAAAATATTTTGTCAAATACAGATTCATCAAACGCCTTGTGTTTTATTACAAGCCAGAGAATGATCTGTTTTCCAAGACAGATATAAATGATCCACACTCCAGGAAGATTTGCATTGTTGGATGCCATCTCATTGATTTTCTTATATCTTGTAACTCTGTAAGTAATGTTAACGCATTAGCATGTACTCAAGGAACTATTTATAAGATATCAACCTTTTGAGATAGATTTTCCTTTTATAGCTACTAACTATTATGAAATTTAAAGAAAGTGATTGATTTTTTCCCCCACCTTTGAACAGACAGCTTAAAAAAATTCACTTGTAATGGGTGAATGTCACAATAAATATTTGGGATATCCACACAAAAATGTGTATATTTCCCACCCGTAACAGCAGACCTCCACATCCAGCATTATACAGTGCGAGAGCCAAAATACCAGGAAGCATTACTATTTGCTAGATTTCAATTTCTAAATAAATCTGATAATATAAATCATTCAATTTAAGTCAACCAGACCAGAGAATAAGAGATATTTTTTTTAAAGTCCAATTGTTTAAATTTGTTGATAAATAGCTATCAGATAGTTATAGTGATCTCCCTCAATAGTTTTTATCATATTCTGGGTTGTTTAACCCACAAACTGTCAAAGGCAAACTTGCTGTGGTGTCAACCATTTGTTAATAACTTTGATAAGTATCACTAAAATACCCCAAACTAATAGAAAATGAATCCAGAGACCCAAATAAGTGGAGATGTTTTGAGAGTAAATTGGACAAAGATCATGTGGAATGAATGTTGGAATTCTGTGAGGCCATGTGAAATGAATATAACCTTGACCTTTCTACAGTGAGTACATTGTGCTACTGTTAATCGTTCTTCACACACCCAAACTGACTGTTGGGTCCAGGTCCTTTTTATCATCTAAATAAGTTTTTCAGACACATTAAACATAATTTTTTTCGGTTTAGAAAATATAAAGTTATTTGGGATTATAGAAATAAAAAAAAAATTCATTGATTACCTTCATATTTCTTAATATAATTTAAATTAAATTCATTAGTATCCTATTTTACACTACTTCAACAATTAGAACTTGAACTGCTACTAGTGCTAGCTTCAATATCCTAATTGTCACTACGATGACTAATTACAATAAAACTATCTTCAACATCAATTTTATAAAGAAAAAATTGGAATACATTAGTACTTTGCCATGCAGGGGCAACATCTTAGTCCTACAAGTTAGTTTTAAGTAGAAACAATACTCTGAAAAATTCAGCTCAGTTCAAATTATAAAAAAACATATGAAAAAAATGAAATATTTGGCTTAGTTTTCTATTAAATAAGAAGTTTATTAATTTTTTTTAATGTTATCCCCCCCATAAAAAAGACATAAAACTTCTGATTCACATTTATAATATTACTTAATAGAGTCTGTAACACCAAACTTACATCCACAAGAATATTCCATTCATCACAGTCCTGTGCTTTCCTTTCGAGTTGCTTCCAGGGTATACCATACTTTGCGCGTCTGCCTCTAGCTCGCGTCTCCATTTATTATTTGGCCTTCCTATCTTTCTTTTTCCCTGTGGTTTCTATGTTAAGGATTTCTGTTGGCGCTGTCTGGGGGTTTTCGGAGAGTGTGCCCTATCCACCTCCATATTTTCCGTATGATGTCTTCATCAATGGGCACCTGGTATGTCCTTTCCAGTAGATCTTTGTTGGTGATGGTATTTGGCCATTTGATGTTCAGGATCATTATAAGGCATGTGTTTATAAAGGTCTGTACTTTCTGCGTAATGCTCGCTGTTGGAGCAGAAACTTGGAAAATAACAACAGTGTAACACCAAAGAATGATCCATAATGGCAGATCATCTGCTTTTATGACAGTTTGTGAGTTAATAAGATAATTATTTTGCAAATAGATCTGCAACAGAGGATTCAGCAAGTAAAAAATTTTAAACATACTGGAATATAAGCAGGTGGCCTAAAGCAGCATGTAACCAAAAATGCTAGCTTATGGGACGTCTGCTGTATACCACTAGCAAAGTTGTAAAACATTTGGAACTGCTATTTGTTATATTAATTCTGAAAATATTTGATTTCCAACATGAATTCACAACTGTTACCAAAATAGAAGTTAAAGTTTGTTTGTTTATTTTTTCCACAGGATGAAGCAGAGAAGATGATCAATGAACTTCTGACTGACATGTCAGAGAATCTCAAAGAGGTTCTCTTACTTTTGCTTTGAATTCCTAATAATTAAATTTCTCTTCGAAATACCTACTATCATTCAAATGTTAAGCAGCAGTAGTTATCATTAATAAATATTGAAAACCGTTTGCAAATAATGAAATTGTGTGTTGATTTATTGCATTACAGAAAACTAAAATGAATGATTTGTCCCTTAATCTTCTAGATTAGAAAACTCTATATTACATAACTTTAAATAATTATTTGATCATGTAACAAAACTTGTATCAATATGAAATTTTTACACAAATGATTCTTTATCAGGTGACCAAATTAAATGTTCCCGTTGATGAAAATGCTATGTTTGGTGCTAAGCGCCTGCATGAAAAGATGTGTAGATACTACTTTCTTTTCATTGGAAGATTCTCTTCAACAAAGAAGGGAATTGTTTATCTGGAGAAGACTGGAATCATTCAAACGTAAGTTACCATTTTATGGTTCATTTTAATACGAGTGTCAAAATGATGCAGGGGTCTCAAACACAAATCATCCGGGGGCCACAGGAGGCAGAATCTGGGTGAGACTGGGCTGCATCAAGTATTCCACACAAAAATGCGATTACAAATTCAATAAAGTACAACTGTTACAATGTGCTCAACCGTTATTAATAACAAATAAAAACATTAATGGTTCTCAAGAACTAGGCTTCACTTTCTTCCTCCTACTCTTTGTTGCCAGAGATCTGGCAGCGCTTCTTACACAGCTGAGCAGCATTTGGCTTGAGTGAGGAATCAAATGAAACACTCAGTATAGCTTGAAAATGCTCATCAGTAAGTTTGGTCCTGAACTTTGACTTGTTAAAGTTCATAGTAGAAAAGAGCTTTTCACACAGAATGAATGCTCTCATAAATTGTCCATGCTTGCCTTTCCCTGTTTTTCCATTCACCTCCCTGAACATAGAATTGCACTGAAGATCAATCAGCTCCATTTGAAGCACAAGGGGGAAGGGGGTGGCATTTTCCACATTGAAGGAGAAAGGGTCAGCAAAAATTTGAAAAGAGGCTCTGTGTGTTTTGAAGTCTGCAAACCTGTGATCAAATTCTTCCTGTAGCTTTGCAATTGCATCAGTATACTTACTACTGAATGGTATGCATGAATACTTTTCATGTTGGGAAGTGGCAGCAGTTTCTTTAAGAACCATAGCACAAGTTTTGTGCAGAATGCCCTTACATTGTCATTGGCAACACTGACAAGATACCCCTTGTCTTGTAACTTCTTGTTGATTACATTCAGCTCCTGTGTAATGTCAACAAAAAAAAGCCAAGTCCATGAGCCATTTAGGATCACTTAGTACATGAGCAACCATCCCATTCTTCTCCATCAAGGCTTTAAATGCTAAAACATGTTCAAACATTAGGCAGGAGCAGGCAATATTTATGAATTATTGATGCGAAGGAAGTTGCCATTGTAAAGAGAATGAACTTTGAGGTTTTTTTATCACAGAAAGACCTTTTTGGCTAACCCTATTTTGAAATTGACCAAGCTGACAGGCTCGGAATTTCCCTTACTTCTAAACACTAGCGGAAATTTTAATAGGGATTCTTTGATTCTGTTTCAGATTGCTACGATTTACACAATTATGGTTGTGCATTACCCACTAACTGACTTTTAAAACTTTTGATATATATGTATACAATATTCGAAGCGTGTTTTCTCAAAACCATCTTTGACCATGTTTATCTCATAAAATAAAAACTTTTAGTCCGAATTTTAACAGTTTTTACTATTATAATCAACGCCCATAATTATACAAACATAATAAATATCAGAATTAGAATAGTCGGTGAGATTCGACTAAAACTGTCACCAAGGGTCACATTATAGATATCTGAATGGGGAAAACGCGCGGGCCGCATTAACACTAAACTTTGCTGTCATGTAGTGGGTCGCAAAATATCGTCTTTGAGACCCCTGCTGTAATGTATTTCTTACCCTGTGAGAAATATAAATATTTTTTTTTATATTTGCAGCCTACTTGAACTTATGTCACCATCTGCAAACATTTTGTATGTGAAGTTAGCCATTTCTGCTTTAAACTTTTCGTTAGAAGGATCAGCCAGACCAGTTCTCTCCAAAGCTTTGACAGCAACACAAGATGTAAGCTTTGTTTAAAATATCATTCTATAATTTGTACTAAACTGTATTGCTGTATTCTAGGTAAAACAGTTGGCTTGCATGCATTAAGAGCCTCATGAAAAATAACAAGAATTAGAATTGAAAATATTGAAATTTTGATACACTGGAAATGTGTTGTTTTTTAAAAATTATTATGCACCTATGAATTAACCTAACATTTGTGTGGACATAATGACTAAGTTTTAACTTTTGGCTTTCTCGTGCTTTCAGGTGTGTCGTTTGTACGCCACTAAAATGTTGAGAGTGTTGATGCGTGCAGGAACCCCAGGGTTCCATCAGTGGGGCATTGAACTTCTGGTCACTCAGCTTTATGACCAGGAAAAAAGCATAGTGATGTCAGCCATCAATATTCTGGATGAGGCTTGTGATAATGAGGTAGAGAGCATGGACTTGCCAACCATCTGGGTTGATAATGTTAATAAGAGAGCATGATTTCTTTGATAAACTAAGTTTTCTGATACATGGTTGAGATTGACAAGTCTTTTAACCAAATGCCCCATATCAAAAGTGTCATATTGGTAACATTTTAGTATATTTTCATTCATTCATTCATTCCTTCATTGATATATTGGTATACTGATTTTTTCATTAATATATTGATTCATTCATTGATACATTTCTTTCATTGATATATGGCTTGATGGCCATCATCCTATTGAACTGACTTAAATTCATCACGTTCATCTGGTTACTTTTTAAAATCAGAATTTGAAAAATAAAACAAAAAGGCAAAACCAAAAAGGTCTAGGAATATACTTCTAAATAAGTTTTGTTTGCTTGTACTAAGACTTGATTTCTTAAATATTCAAGGAAAATTTGAAAAATCTCATCAAACTTCGGCCATCACTACTTCATCTGGGAGAAAAGGGTGTCATGTTGCTGACACGATTTGTCTCAACGGTTCAGGGTTTCAGATCCCTCAATGATGCCAACTTCATATTTACTCAGCTAGAACAGTGGCACAAGGTCAATATAACATATCATGTCTTGTGGCTCTTCAACTTTTTCAATCCATAAAACTCCTTCAAACATTTTTTTTTTTTATAAATGTAACATTCTAATAGATGTAAATTTTAAAAATTTGAGTTGGATATGAAATTATATTGAATTGATTTAAGTGCATATTAAAAAAAATTCCAGTGTTATACTAAAATGTATTTCAATTTATTATAGATTATAATTATTTGAATTATTGATGTGTTGTATCTCAATTCTCAAAGGAGTTGTAAGGGTGTTAAACTATTCTATTTGTTTTCAGTCTTTCAATGAGCAGTATGTAGATATTGTAGAAGAAATGCTAAATGAAGCTCTGACAACTTATGAAAAGACTTTCAGTGGCTCTTGTCCCAGGCGTTCTATACTGAAGTAAGTTAAATCAGTTGTAATGTGGAGAAGAAATACATAGAAAATTTAAGAGTTTTTAGTTATTAAAAAGTATTTGACTTGTTATTTTTTTTTTTAAATTCACCCATTTTATTCAATTGCAGGGGTCCAAAAAAAGATGTATTTCTTCCAACCCATCTTTATGGTCAACTAACTATGCATGAAGAAGGACTGGAATATTTGCAAAAACAGGTTGAGAATTCATTTGAAACCTTCATTTTACAAAGCTATGTGTTTTAAATGGGGAAATATACCATTTCTGATCATACAAAACATTCAGTGGTAGATATAATATTAATAGTGCATGTTACTAGTTAAAATCAACACTGTGTAAAGCTTGATTAAAAATTGTGTTTCTTCAATGCATTATCCAATGTATTTGCCTACTTTTCTTTCCCATTATCACTCACAGTCTGTATTCTTTAATTATTAGGAATGTATCAAGCAGTATTTCAGTTGCATACTTCAACAAAATTTAATAAACAGTCAAGATATTCGGGCTCTAAAAACGGCCTTGTGGGCAGTGGTGAGTTCTTTAATATTTTATATTTCTGATCTAATTAATAATTATTTAAATTTAAATTAAATAAGTTTTTAAACAGTGTGATCATTTTGAGATCGTGCTAAAAACTAAAATATTGTTTACTTCTGCCATATTTTGTTAAGGATGATTAAAAACAAGTCAGCAAACATAAATTTTAGAAAAGTGATTTTTCTCAATTGCTACTGACAAAATTCAAATTATTGTATTTCATATTTCGCAGGGTCATATTGGTTTGTCTTGTGATGGGCTGGCATGGCTAGAATCCGAGAAAGTTATTCCAGAAATTATAAGACTAGCTGAAGAAAGTGGAGTTTTTTCTATCAGAGGGTAACACAAGATTATATCATTAGTATATTAGTATAAAACCAGAATTAAGCCAAAAATAATATAGCTATTGAAATTTTCACATCTTATTTTGATCATTCCATGTTTCGGCTTAATAATGTTTAGCTCGACATATAGAGCCAATGAAAGGGCCTGATCTTAAGTACAGAAAAATTATTCAGTTGTTATTGCGTGTGCAGTCCCAGTATCCAGGCCCCCTCTGTGCTCAAACTGACCCACTCGGCCTTAGTAATTGGGTTGGCTCTGACAATTATTACATGTCATAACATTCTCAAAACTGCTCAACAGAACTGCTTACTTTGTGTTGGGGCTGCTTGCTTGTACAAGAAAAGGTACGGATATTCTAAACGAGTTTGGATGGGAATCAAGATGTCATACCAGGAAGGTATAAATACATTGCATATGATGGGGAAAGTAATAATCAAATTTCTACATGGTCACGTATATGGTAGAAAAATATGGAGCTATTTAGTCAGAGCTTGATAAAAACAATGGCCAGTTTATAATCAGTAACAAAATGAGTACAATGACCTTTTTGGGCTTTGATTGATATATATCTATTATTTTAAAAACATCATCATCAGAACCAGAAGGTTATTTACACAATTATAATTCGAATATTTTTAACTCTTTTTTTCACTAGGAAATGTTTCCAGTTTTGGACCAGGATGGCTGGATGCATGGTTCTATGGAAGAGGCTCTTTTCATAAGTGACAGAATAGCATCCTCCAATATTCAGAGTGAAAGTCATCGTCTTTCTTCAATGGGCAGCATGGGCCTGTCGCTCATTCAGGAAGAAACATTCATGCGCCCAACTAGCTCTAAACCTTCAAGTCAGAACACCCTTCGAGCTTCCGTGTCTTCCATCCATTCAGCGAAAGACCCTTTATTGAGACACTCTTCTGCCATGCCAACACATTATCATAATGTTCCCCCGTACACGTCTCCTCCCAACCTAACAGTGCCTAATGTTGCCTTCAGCCAAACTTTGCCTTATGGATCGGAAGATTTTGTTCGGTTGGGTCCGGTCCCGTCAAGGTCAAGATCAGAAAAATTCATTCCAAATAAAGCTGGGGAGTTGCGTCCTCGTGCTCAGACTGGTGATAAAACAACTCTGATTGCCCCTGGTGGTGTGTCCACAACAAAGTATGAATCGGTTCCTGTCAATATAGACTCCATTAATCTAGGTATTATCAACCCTTACACAACGAATGATCTTGGCAGAGTGAGGAAATCATCTTCACGTGACTCCATCCAATTAATTGCTTCCCCTGTTGTCAAATTGAGAACTAGCTCGGATGAGGATTCGGCCATTCTTTCTGACAACTGTGATTCACAATCCAATGACAACAGTCACATGGCCACATTTGTCACTGACATTTCAACTTCAGGCACCGTACAGAATGGCACAGCACATTCCCATGTAGATAGTAATGCAGCAGAGGGTGATGCTTCTCACAAACTTTCATTTACACCTCACAGTAACTCTACAAAGGATATCGTCAGTTTCAAAATGGGCGGCTCGTCACTCCTTAGCAATAAAGACAGCAGCAGCAGTGACAGTTCCAACCGTAGCAAGAGCAGGGGAAGCAGTTTTAATACAACGGACACCAGTGGTGTTGGATCATGTGACTCCAATGCCATGCCTGCACCGGGCAGTAACACATCTTCAAGTTTGAACAATGCTCTGACCCCCATACCCAGCTCATCTTCCCTCTCCACTCTTGCAGCACCGACCAGCCTTCTCTTGCCCACAGAGCCGGTCAAAGAACCTGTACATCACTCTGCTTTACAGCGCAGTCTCTTTAAACTGTCTCGTATTCCCAGTGCCAAGAGGCGATCTGCTTCTCCTGCTCTGGGCATTACACCTAATGGACAGACTTATACGTCTCAAAGGGATGCGTTGGGATATGCAACTTTAAGAAATATCAAACGACAACGAACTTATAGCACTGAAACGGACGGAGATAATGTTAGCCACCTAGAAACTCCTTCACTGCATCGCACTGTTAGTCAAGATTCAGAGATAAGTGTGGAGAGTAATATGTGGCTGAGGTGAATTTTATTTATTTGCTTTAAAATGTTTAATTAATTTGTTTTTATAGCTGGTTTATTGTCACTGCATTTAGCATCAAACAAATTTGTTATGGTTCAACTCTCAATGAAGTCTCATCAGATTCTATTTTAGTGGTTCTATTTGTTTCACTAACATATTCAAACTTTTTATTTGATATAATCATAAGTTTTGATCACATGACAAAAAATGTTAGGTGAAAACTTGCAATGATAACTTATTCATTGTTTGCGAGTGTAGATTTCCATTGTCAAACTATCATAATTGATCCCCATAGGCTGTTTAGCACACTAAAAGATCTCAGTATTAAATTAACAACTGAAGCATCCCCAAAGTTTGAGGTGGCCCAAGTAAAGTGGTTACGGTCAAATTAGTATTATTTTGACTGAGTACTATCACAGGATATTTATACAATTTAGGAATGAGTACTATCACAGGATATTTATACAATTTTGGCATAAATTGTACGATTCTGAGATGTATTTTACGATTGTACGCCAATACCCGTCAGAACTACAATTTTACAAGACTGAGTTTTAAAAAAAAAATTTACGGTGGTGTTTACAACTTTTTAAAAAAAAATGTTAACGTTTTCTTTTATTAGTTTTAGTTCTTTTCTATAGCCTGCGGTGAATGCACAGAGAAATATGTTGGGCTGAGGACAGTCCTTAATTATATCATGTATGGTGGAAAGGGGGTGGAAAGCACATGTGTGCATGAGAGGGGTGGGGGGAGGTGTGTAAACATTTTTAAAGGCTATAAAATAACACCATGTTTCGAAATCATCGCTAGATACAGCAAGAGTAATATTTCAGAATAATTTAGCGTTGTTGCCCTAGTAACAAATTTGGTAAACATCCACCTTTGCTTTAGTGCTGTATGATGTAATTTTGTGACATAATTATGTAGTTTTTCAGCTGAACAGCAGCAGCTGCAAAAACGGAGAAAAATATGGATATTATTTAGAATGCATTCTCAACTGCTCCGCATATATTTTATAAGATCTAGCAAGCGGTCTTTGAAATCTGTTTAAGGAAGTCACTAAGCAGCTGTACAATTTTAATACACCAGCCCTACTGTTCTCCCAATACAGCTTGTAGTTCTTAAAATATAATATTTTAACGGAAAATGATATCTGGCTCCTATGTCTAATGCAAATGGGGGAAATTTGCTGCCTGCCCCTTTAAAAATTGTGGCTGACGGATATATGACAAATAACTTTTTCCTTCATTCCAATTTTTGCCTTAATGGCACATTTCAAATCTATAGGCCTAAACGTCATTTTTGTGTGCTGGTATGAGGTATTTCAGTGTATCCACCCCTTTTTAGACTTATTTAAAAAATAGATTGAAATAAGTAATCAATTAGAAAACAATTTTACTACTAAATAGAAAGGATTTATCTTAACACGGCTAGGTAAGGGGTACCTAATTTTTCACAACCATTATGATTAAATGAAAAAATGATGCAAGACTATATTCAGTTGTAATCAAAGGTGCATCCCTGGATTTTGAAGTTATAAAAATAATTCTAGGGAGTAGGGCTCAGCTTCCTCCCAAACCCCACCCTTACTTTTGCTCTGGTGACCTCAGTGGGCGTCTTCAATCCTCCTCCCTCCCCCCCCCCCCCCCCCCATCCCATCATTGAAGTGGCCAATAACGAGCACCCTGTTATTAGCAATAGTGAGTGCACTGTACATAAATATATAAATTTCAGTCATCTACTTTGAGAAGAGACCTTAATTTGACATGCGATGCAAATAGTTATTTGTATACATTATACTTTATGTTAATTTATTTACTATTACAATATGGTATTGTGCAATTTTGAAATGGTATGGTACTATTCTGAGACTATCTAGTACTTGTTTGGGATTTCCAGTGTAACCAGGTCTGCAGGAGCAATATTTTTTTGGACCAAGCAGTGGTTATGATTAGAGCTTATTGAGTACTATCACAGGAGTCATAGTTGGGTTGGACCAAGCCGTGATAATAATGGGGCTTATTGTCAAATCAGTGTTACCGTGTACTATGACAGGAGTCATAGGAGGGTCAGACTAAGCAGTGGTTATGATAGGGCTTACTATTAAATCAGTGTTACCGAGTACTATCACTGGAGCCGTAGTTGGAACAGACCAAGCAGTGTATTTTTGTTTTTAGATAGATTTCTCTAGCAGTTTTTTTTAACAAAGTTATCCTAATTTCATAATTCATGTAATTTTCTTCTCAAATACAAGATATATATTTATATATTTAGTCAGGTAATAGATACGCCTATATTAAACTACTTTTCTTTCCCAGTATAAGAAGAAATGTGAGCAGCGTATCTTTGCAAGACCAAGATGTGCCAGCCTCACCCATTGCTAGCCTTAATCGAGCCGCCTTCAAGCCTCAATCGCCTGGCAACCGTTTTGTTGGTATCACACTCCCTGTTGACATTAAAATGATTTTTGAGGTTTGCTTCTCTCATTGAATATTTGAATAGTTTCATAGCACTTGTAATAAAGTTTTTCTGAAATGATATTTTAATTTCAATTTTGGGAAAGTCATTCAGAAGCAAGGGGTTGGAAGGTTATACATTTATAGGTTATGTCAGGCAGAAATATTGCTAGGTTTATTTCAATATATGGAAAGTCATTTAGAAGCAAGGTGTTAGAAAGTTGTACATTTATATGTTATGGCTGGAAATATTACTAGGTTTATTTCAATATTGGGAAAGCCATTCAGAAGCAAGGGGTTGGAAGGGTAGACATTTATAACAGTTTTTAATAACTTTTTAATGCTGTAAAATTTCAATTATCATAACTTAAGGAGTAGCCTAATTATGGAGTTTTTTTTTTGTTTTTTTTTTATTAAGAACAATATCTCTAAGTTGTAAAGAAAGGGTCACTAAAGCAATATCTCTAAGGTGTAAAGAAAGTGTAGCTAAGAACAATATCTCGTGAGTTGTAAAGAGAGTGTCATCTAACTTTTAGGAGAGAAAAAAATTCCTGTCATACAAATAACTTGAATGTAATTAGAACTTCTTGTCCCATCTGTCCGTTATGAAATGTTTGGTACCTTACTTTTTATAACAAGTTCCTTATCATGATAACCTTGATTGAACAGGTTGTTGAAGGTGAGGACAGAAGAACATGTTCAACTAGTAGCCTGGGGAAATTAGAACAACCTCCAGGTAAGACATGTTGAAGTCAACTCATCTTATGTTTATACATTTACAGTGTAGACTAATCCTTTTATTACAATTCAAATTCAATTAGCTATCTTTACTATGAATTATAGCAGGGGTTCTCAACCTGCAGGCACTATTTGTTTTAGTTCAATTTATTATAAAACATAATTATTTTTTATTGCAAAGCATTATGATACAAGTCTTGTAATCAAGGTTAGACAGGCTTTTACTCAACCAACTTTCTAGGGTTCTTCGCGACGATACCATAATGTGTAACTTTAATGCTGGGAACATCTCCTCATCAGTACTCATTATTTCAGTGATCACAGCTTCAACTTCACTTCATTAGTAGACATTACTTCAATGATGACATCTCCAAATTTAGGGGAAAATTTGTAGTATAAAACTGATTTCGACATCCCTTTAAACTAGGGCCCCATGGAATTCCTTTTGTTCTTTCAATAAGCTCCTTGATATTATCATTGATAATTTTCATGGAATCAAGAGTTCTAGACAATATATTCAACTAATTGTTTAAAAATTAAATGACTTTATATTTTAAAAAATTTCTAGGCAATAAACTGAAATTTTTAAAAAGAAAGTTAGGCAAGGGCTGATTTTTCCTGATTTTAATTCTTTTTTTTTTTTTTTAAAAAAAGGCTCACGCCAAAATAATAATTTAACTTATCCGAAACTTCCATCTTTAAAAAAAAAAGAAAACGGATGCTGGGTCTGTCTCTTTGATTGGAGAGGAGGGAGAAATCATGGGGGCTGAAATTTTTTTGATGAATTCAAAATGCAAAGATCCATTTTGGCGTATACTTAGATGTCCATTCTTTGTTGAAGGTCTGGACCTTGTCTTCAATAGACCTAATTATTTTTTTGGTGCTCCAATATTTATTTCAATTATTTTTCTTAATATTATTAACGAATCAAATTATTCTCATAATAGTGAATAATTCAAACAACAAAATTGTTAAACTTTCAAATAATTTAAAGTTCACTTGTCAAGCCTTTGAGGCCGCTATTATTTCAACATAGAGAGTGATAATGCTGCTGCATACTGTGGGAGAGAGCTTAGAAATGCTGTGCTGCAGTTTTTAGAAGTTTCATTCGAACGCTTATGATATCTTTGGACTTGTTTGCTTGGTCAGATTTTTTCAGAGAATTCTGGGTTTATTTTAATATATATTATTTGAAGATGGGCTTCAACAAATCACTGCCAATTCATTTCACAAATAAGCAGTGTGAAATTCCTGTCTTTAGTATATTACAGTTTTACAATTTTGCACTGCTATTATTAATTTTCAAGGTTTTCTGAAGAAAATCATTTGAAAATTTGTTTATTTTATTGAAACATTAATCCAGTTCCCAGAATGTCTTGCGAGCCACATAAAACGTCTCGGCGGGCCGCAGTTTCCCCACTCGCGCTTTAGTTTAAAAGTAACAAATATTTTAGTTATTGGTAAGTGAAATGAACCATCAGTTTTGGTTACACGTGTAACTTAAAAATAAACTGAAGGGTACTCACTTACCTAGTTTATTAAAGACAAGTACAAGGAATACAATTATACTGGTAGAGATATTGATAAAAGTACATTAGCCAAAAATGTGTAAGCTACTATTGTAACCATTCAGAGGGAACAAAATATTTAAATTGTGACATTTCTCATACTTTTAGCGATCTATTGTTTGATTGAGCTATCTGAAACCTGATCACATTATATTTCTTATTCCAGAGGTAAGAGGAATAAGTATTGCAGTGCCCCCTTTAAAAAAAGAGATATCTTTTGAGCACAGTACTGATATCTGTTTGCTCTGCAATAGATTCCGGAAGAAGGTGGTTGCATCGACAGTGAAATCAGGTAAGAGAGTTCTTGATAGCATTCATGTGTAAGCTCTGCAAACCCAACTGTCAAACATGTCTAATCTTGTTACTGGCAAAATCAGTTCATCCTTGTGCTAATGAAAGTTGTATTTGCAGTGACCGCTGTATCGAAGCATCAGGAAACTGAGTTGATGCGAGCAGATCAAGGTGAAGCAGTGCACTCTCTGTCTGATGTTGGCAGGACAAGGGGAGGTAGTATCAATGACCACTCTTCATCAGCAACACCAGGTAGTCAGACTAGCAGCTCCAGCACACATGAAACGGGTATGATTTTAATTTCAGTTTTGATTTATGTTTGTATTACTTAAGCTTCATTGCTGATTGTAGCCTGCAGAGAACTGCATTCAGGTTGAAGCAATAAGAAAAATAAAACACTGGGTCAGGGAAAACCTGAAAAAATTAATAAAAACAACAGGCGTTTCAATAGCAAAAAAGACGAGAGAATAAAAAACACAACTTTTTATGGTAGAAGCCTCTATGGAATCATCTAATAAGGTCTAAGAATTTGGGGATGAGGTTTCAACATTGCTGATAAAAGTTCAACAGAGAGTGATGAAGATGGCCAGAAAGTAATGTCAGTATTTGTTAGCTATATTATTGATAAAATGGTTCAACGTGAAGTGATGACGATCACCAGAAATTAATGTTGGCCACATTAGTGATGAAATGGTTAACCTGAAAACACAAATACTTGTCTCAGTCAATTTTATCTACAAAAATATAGAATATTATATGGAAATGAAATAAACCCATAATCATAACTGTATGCTCTATTTAAGATTTTCGTTAATGTAGCTAATGAGACTCTTCGAGTAAAAAATTTACTTATTTCATAAAACAGCTGCAAAAAAACTGACTGAAGATAGCGAGGAAGGTAGACAACTCATTAGACTTGAAGTAATGAGACTGATTGTTAATCTTGGTAGTTCTGTTGGCTTGAAAGGATCTGAAACTGGTTTATTAAGGTAAAATAAAATAGCAAGTGATTTGGTCTGTATGTCCATTCAATATTCCCAGTGAGGCAAATGTGTTCCTATGAAATAAATATTTTAACTTTACTTATTCTGTTCCTCATGTTCTTATTTTTTGTTGTGTTTTTTTTTTTAGTTTATATTTCAACCTTCATTTTCTTGTATTTATATCATTAACTGAGATAACTCGATCTTTTTAATCTTAGAAATTTGTCATTTTGTCTTTGTTTATTCTGAAAGGGAATTTAACCAAAACATTTGTCAAGCTCAATGAAAGTAAGAATAATATAAATTGTGTAAAAGAAAATGATGATGTTAATTATCTAATTGAAAACTTATGTAATCCCATTGTCTATTTTGATCAACAGTTTGAAGCAACGTTTTCCAAAGTGCTTTCAGAGCATCTGCTTCTACTCTGAGGTGTGCCACTTGTTGTCAACATATTCCTATCGTTTGTTGGCCAGGAGATTTATTCAAGAGTTGTTTGATGAGTTGGATATTATAGGGGTAAGGCAATCATTATCCTTGGTCTCTGATAGCATTTGATGAGACTCTATGCTATTATAGGGGTAAGACAATCCATGTCATTGGTCTCTGACAGGCTTTGATGAAACTATATGCTAACAAGTTATACATCTTCTTATAAATGTAAATATTCAAAGATCAAAATGGCCATTTGAACATATTTGAACTTCTCTACACTTGCGGCATGATGACAAAACCAACCAACTGCTCCTACTGTAAGATAACCTTAATGTATAATACTAAAATGGTAGGTTTTCCTATTGTCTTAGGCCAGTGGTCGGCAAACTCATTAGTCAAAAGAGCCAAAAAAGCAGCAGCAGCACGATAAATTTTGAGAGTCAAATTTCTTTTCAAGAACCATGTTTTTTGGAGTCAAAACCAATTTGCCGACCATTGTCTTAGGCAATATACTTAGCAAAATGAAAAGGTATACTTTATTTCCTTAGGTAGTAAATGAATATAAATATCAACATATTTCTTTACACGCAGTTGCTGGAAGCTCCATGTCAATATCTGTCCATTGAATTGGACCCCAGCCCGCACATGGCCCCTATCAGACAAGACAGTTTAGATGATTTTCAGGACTTTTCCTGATGGTCGCCCAATCAAAGATTTTTAAACTCGCCGTCTGGCAACTTGGAGCAAGTATCACAAACCTTTCTTAATGGAGACACATCTGCGTTAATATATAGTAAAAATTTCTCACTGTACATATTTATTACCTTTAACTGTACCCCAGAATCAACACCAAAGCAACAATGCAGATTTGATCCCACATCATTCCCTGTCACATTCTTGTGTGTGCAATGATTGCTAGAGTGTCATGCTCTAGTGTCTATTGTCATCTAGTTACATCAAATGCGAAATTCTGCACTTTATTAAATTTGCTAGCATTACTAAAATGTCCATTGACTGTTAAAAAAAAAATTAACTCTGAACAATGAATAGAACTCAGTAAAAAATCAAATTAATCTGAGAAAAATGAGATCAGCTTGAATGCAAAGAAAAGCATATTTTTTTGTTGCATTACTTACTTAAGGCTGCTGTAATGAATGTTGTTACCCAAAAGTAAAAACCTGCGCACCTCAGTTTCTTGACTTGTCCACATATTTGACAAATATTTATTTGGACAAGTCCACTAATCAAAATGTGATGCCCTATTTATTATATATTCAAAAACACTTGTTATCAGATTGTTAGACAACCTGAAATAATTAAGATTACTGTGAATAAAAGAGTGATTGGTTTAGGTTTTGTGTGATTTTGAATGATTGTATAGGATTTTTATGTATGATTCCCTTAGCACCGATGAACAAATTATAAACGAAACAAAATGTCTTTCAAGGAATGTGTTTGTGTACCTTATTTATATAATAAATATATATTTATAGAGTTATGTAAAATAAATATTTAGTTAAATGTTATTTATATGTGTATCTGTGTGAGACGAAATGATAACTTTTTTTGTTTAAAAAACTATTGAGCAGGATTCTGTTCCAACGTCAAAATGGCTGACTGTCAACACTTGTTAAACACTGTTGCTTTATCCAGGATTGGACAGGAAAATTCTTTTGATAGGATATATCAGGGGTTCTTAACCAGGGGTGCCCTGGGGTATATTAATAGCAAACCATTTAACGAGCTTCATGCCATCTATAGATTTAATCAAGAAAAGGATTGCTTGAAAGAAAACTGTTTGATAAACATTTCATCTAGTCATTTTATTTGACATAATGTAAGTGATGCAAGGAGATCATAGATTTGTATGTTTAATTTTTTGGAAATGAAGTATGGCCACACAGCAATCATAAATTTGTATGCTTTGTTTTTTTTTTTGGAACGAAATATTGCCACGCTGCAATCACATATTTGTATGTTTAATTTGTGGGAAAGAAATATGGCCACACTACACTCATAGGTTCCTGTTTTTGAATCCTAAATTCAGTTTGACATTCCTAGTTGTCTTGAATTCTTTCTTACCTCATAGGTTAGGATCTCCTTATATGTTAACCCTGTCTAGCCCAGGGGATAGGGATATCCATTAATATCATCACTCTATAGCCCCGAGGATTAGGATGTCCATTAATATCAGCACTATATAGCCCTGGAGACTAGGATGTCCATTAATTATATAAATCTCAACAATCTATAATCCAGGGGATTGGGATATGTATTAATATCAACACTAAAGCTCCTCATACCATTTTGTCAGTCAACTCCTCAAATACATTATAATTATATAAATGTATTAAATTGAAATAACCCCATAAAAAAATAAATGCTTCATTTAAATCAAATCTGTGTTTATAACAAGGAAGGAAAGAATTATAACAAAAGAAGAAAGAAAATGCTAAGTTATGATCGGGCCGGCCAAAATATTTAATGGGATGGGCCACATGGGGCTCAAAGGTTGGCCATTCTCAACGTTTTTTGAGTCATGAGCCCATTTTTTAACCATAGTGATTAGTCACCCCTTTTTTTTTTTATTGAATTAAGTTTTGAGTTGTGACCCCATTTTTTGAACCAAAGTAACTCCTCACCCCTTTTTATAGAGACTGAAGTGATCCATGAGCCCCATTATATTGAAGCAAATTGACCCATGACCCCATTATAATGAAGCAAATTGACTCTTGACCCCATTAAATTGAAGCAAATTGACTCGTGACCCCAATAAAGGAAAAAAAATTAATATAAAGTAAGAGAATACATTTTTTGAAAAAGATGCCATAATATTATAATAAAATTATTTAAACTTCCTTAGGATACAGATTAAAAAAGAAAATTTCTTGAAAATTATTAATTTTTTTTAAAAGTACCGTCTAAAGCCCTTCCTACCCCATTTGGGTTGTCGCAACCTAAGGGCTTGTGTTGCCCTTAGTTTTAGGATATCCTAACTTTAAATACTCTCTAAGCCATGTTTTAGTGCCAATAACTAAAGACTGTAAACCAGACTGGGAAATAAGTGCAAAAAAGCACTGTAGTTATAATAGTTTTGGCTTGAGCTGAACTCAACATTTTAGTCAGGATTTCTTTCTTTAAAAGTGTGCCGCTCAGTTGTTCATATTGTGACATTAAACATTCAAATGTTCTGTTAATTGTTGGTCATTAATTTGTGCTTCAAACGAGAGCCTTGGAATGTTTGGTTTATGAACCAGGAGTATTTCAAGTGGCTAACATTTTAAACACCCAACATTTTATTGAAACTGAAAAAAAAATGACTTCTCTGCTTTGTGTAAATAAATGTTTGCTATTTCTGAGAATGTGATGATACATCTTTGCTTCTTATGTGTCATATTGCATCTTGCCATTTGTGATATGTTGGGGGGTCCACATTTACCTGACACAGTGAGACTGTTGTTGAACTGCATCAATCATGTTTAGCTTTGCAATGTCCTCAAAACATTTTTGTTGTTGAATATCTGTGAGGCCTGTGAATGTGGGCGGGACACAATCGCTGGTCAATCTCTCTATGCCATATTGTTACTAAAACTTACATATATGATCTGTATTCTTTTAATGGACTTGGTCTAAAAAAAAGTGTTTATTACAAGGCCAAGTATACTTACTTTGCACTGTGTGTTACCTCCTCTATGAACTGGTTGATCCAGTTGATCAATGAGCTACAGGGTTTTTAGACTCACCTCTTATGTACCAATCTTTTCTTATTGTTGCCACTGAGCTAGTATTGGAGGTGATGGCATGAGGACTGTGTAAACCCAAATGACATGAGGACTATGTAATACCAAATGACATGAGGGCTATTTAATACCAAATGACATAAGGACTGTAATACCAAATGGCATGAGGAGTGTGTAATACCAAATGACATGATGACTATTTTTAATACCAAATTACATGAGGACTGTGTAATACCAAATGGCATGCGGACTGTAATACCAAATGACATGAGGATTGTAATACCAAATGACAGGACTGTAATACCAAATGACATGAGGACTGTAATACCAAAAGACATGAAGATTGTAATACCAAATGACATGAGGGCTATGTAATACCAAATGACATGAGGACTGTAATACCAAATGAGATGAGGACTATATAATTACCAAATGATATGAGGACTATGTAATACCAAATGACATGAGGACTGTGTAATACAAAATGACATGAGGACTATGTAATACCAAATGACATGAGGACATGTAATACCAAATGACATGAGGACTATGTAATTCCAAATGACATGAGGACTATGTAATTCCAAATGACATGAGGACTATGTAATACCAAATGACATGAGGACTGTAATACCAAATGACATGAGGACTATGTAATTCCAAATGACATGAGGACTATGTAATTCCAAATGACATGAGGACTATGTAATGCCAAATGAAATGAGGACTAATACCAAACGACATGAGGACTATGTAATACAAATGACATAATTGTAACTATGTGAGTGTAACATCATTGATCATTATAGCCAGGATTTTTACCTAAGTCATTTGAAATTGACACACACTGGTCTCATTCTCTAATTACGTATGGAACTTTTTGAACAATCTCAAGAATGTGTGTAGATCTTGTCATAAAATAATTAAATGAGATTTTCAATCGGCAATATTTCATTCAATCATGTCCACATTCATTGGCTTGGCACAGGTCAATCTCAATGAAGCCATGTAAGCAGCAATCCTTCATTCAGTTATCTGATTCATCACTTGGGAACAGTTGATCTGTTGTAAACAAGAACACTGCTCCCATTTTGAGAAACCTAATTATAGACTGACACCCAAACAAAAATCTTTGCCTTGATGGATAAATGCGAAAAAAAAATTCTTATGTTCATAACGAACTATTTTTCCCCGGGCCATAACTTGAAAAGAAGTGATTGAGCTTTTGTCGTATCAACGTAAGGTCAAGATTTTTGTTAGTTCTCAGTGTATGTGTCTGCTTGACAGATCCCTCAAATTATCTTAAATTAATAGAACATGAGATAGATGACAGAAATA